AGCAAGGACGACATTGAGCGTATGGTCCAGGAAGCAGAGAATTACAGGGCTGAGGACGACGTGCAGAGAGAGAAGGTGATTGCTAAGAATGGTCTGGAGTCTTACTCCTTCAATATGAAGTCCACTGTGGAGGACGAGAAGCTGAAGGACAAGATCAGCGACGAGGACAAAAAGAAGATTGTGGACAAGTGTAACGAGGTCATCAGCTGGCTGGATAGAAACCAGGTATGAAACTAAATATGTTTGGTGGTCAGTTTTGGTAGCATAGGTGCTAAAGAAAATATGTGTTAGCATCAGATTATTAACTTCCTTTCCCTTTCTCAGACTGCAGAAAAAGAAGAGTTTGAGCATCAGCAGAAGGAGCTGGAGAAGCTCTGCAACCCTATCATGACCAAGCTGTACCAGAATGCGGGGGGGTGTGCCCGGAGGGATGCCAGGGGGGATGCCCGGGGGGATGCCCGGCGGCTTCCCCGGCGCTGGTGGTGCTCCGGGAGGGGGGGCATCATCCGGCCCCACCATTGAGGAGGTCGACTAAAGTAGAGCTTCACAAAATGGTTATATTCAGAAAAATGTACCAGGCAACTTTGGGTTTGTTTTGTTCCTCTTTGTACACCAGGCTTAAGTAAACACTTCTACTGTTTGTTCTTGGTTCTTTTCTAGCAGAGCTCTTCATCCAGTTAAACCAGTTATTGACGCAGGTTTTTTTTTTTAATGGAGTTTGTTGTACGGTTTCAGTGCATTTCAAAATAAGACTAAATAAAATACTTTTTGAACTTGAAGTAATAGTGCATCTCATTCATAAAACTGTGACTGATTTTGTGTGTCATAGTGTATATATGCTTAACACTCAATATTTTTCAGAAATTATATTATTATATATAAAGCTATTCATTAAGTGAATTTAATGATGTGGAGTTCAGGTATAAGTCATTTTAAAGTTGTTTATACCTGAACTCTACATCATACAATCCAGGGCTGCAGTTGATTAAATATATAAATATTCTGATCATAATTTTAACTTTCCACAATACAATGAACATTAAGAGCGATATTGTCAAATGAATTCACCTGCTCATAGAAAACTAAAAACTCAAGTGATTCCTAAACTAACAGCCAGCCAGCAGGGGGCGATCGAGATGTTCTGGCTTCACTTTTAAAGTGTCATCACTTTGCTGTGGCAGCATTTAGAAAATGAATGTTTTGACTGCAGTTGAAAATAGTTAAAAAGTAAAAGGGAGAACATGCAGTGAATTCAGGAGGACATTAAGAAGCCTTATTTTTGATTGAATAAGACTGTGATATGAATGATTTAACTACACACTTTTGGAAGACGGTTAACACTAAAATTGTCACTGCTTCGGTTTTAAACATTAGCTGAAATACATTTAGCTGCATCACCTCAAATGTTGGTATACCATTGTGTCCCTCTGCTTAAAGTTTTATTAATTTAGAGAGACAATACATCCAACAAATGCCTTTTTCTTCCCTAATTTTATTTTTGCTTATTCAGGAAGAAGTTGAGTTCATTTGAGTATTGGTTCCTCTTGGTCATACATTATAGACCAGTGCTTTTGTGTGTGGAAGTCATTGGCAGGTTAGCGCGAGTTAGAGTTTCTTGGGCATTCGTGCATCCGGTAGGCACACATGTAGAAGATACCTAGAAGAGAATAACCAGATAATTAGACATCATATATATCCATGATGCACACATTTTATCTGAGTTGATGTGGTACGATGCATACCTGAGAAGAAAGTGAGCACCACTGCCACCCAGCCCATTATATAGGACCAGGAGAACCGCCAGCTGCCATAGCGTTTACCATAGAAGTTCACCGTCACTCCTGTGTAGACAGCCATGGCCAGCAACACAAAGAAGCCTGCACAATAGATACAATCATTAGGTTTAACTGACAAAGGTCTTCCTTACAAAAGAGAGGCGTGCATGTAGCTCTGGTGGAGGAGCTTACAGGAGATGAAGAAGAGAATGCCGGCTGCAAATGTCTTGTCAAACCCATCAAAGGAGGAGTAGTGGATGAAGGCCATGACGCCGATCACAATGCCAATGAAACAAGCCAGCAGGGAAAGAATCATGAAGGCACGGGTGGCGTCCCAGTACGCTGTGGGTGAGAGATGAGTGACACATCAGATTTCTGTCTTGTGCTAAATGACGATTTCAGATTTGTTTTAATATTTTATTCACATAACCCGTCATTTATAGTGAAGGAATGTTTAAATTTCAGTCATTCATTTAAATGTTTTTCTTATCTAGCTTTTTATCCAATAACGTTTATGACAGATTACTGAAAATGATTTATTTCCCTTGCATATATTAAATATATCAAGGTACTATCTCTTAAAAGTCACAAAAACAATTAACTTAACTAGCAATCTCACATGACATATACTACTTTGCATTTTTAGGCTTAACAATCGCCATATTTTAGCCAACAACCCAACAAGGCTAAAAAAAGAGGTAGTTTCCACGTGGATCAGGGTAAGTGTAGAATTGAGAGTTGACAGACTGGTTGTCAGCAAACTAATACATATAAATGAGGATGTGCCCCTGCACATGCAGCGAGTCTTACCAATGCTGTCAGTGTGAGCCATGCATTTTCCGGGCACACAGTACCGCCACAGACCCTGGTGCATGTAATTGCTGGAGTGACGGTATTGCATCCAGTAGTCAGTTGCCGTGGAGACGATGAGGAGTATGTTCCCGATTCCGGCACAGAACAACCCACCTCCCATGAAGCTGTACATCCTGCCAAAAACACTGACAGACACACAGAGAACAGCAGAGCAGGTCAGACTATCCCAATTAGAGCAGGCATGTCCTGTTACAGAGCATGGGGATACACTCAAAATGTATAAAACAATATCTAATACAAATTCAGTAGGGTGACAGAAAAATGTGCTGGATCTTGACATGTCTGAATATAGTAACAGTACTCAATGACACTGAGAGGGAATCTACACAGTGGACAGGCGGCCAACTCACCCTGACAATTAATTAACCTCCAACACCACCGTGCTGAGAGGTGGGTCCAATTAAAAAAAAAAAACATATTTGTATTTTAAATAAGCACCACTAGTTTCTAAAGATACTTTAAAAATGATGGCCACCACATAGAGAATACTTTCTTTATAATCTGACTGTTAGGCATTTATAATATCATGGCATCTTGGATTTCAATAGTTCATCAAAATAGGGGTGCATGCCCCACAATTTAAAGCTCCTGAAATGGGTAATCATGTGAGATAAATGAAGAGTTCAAAAGGTTAACTAACAATTGTAGGATAAAGAAAGATAAGACAGAGAATGAATCTTTTGAAACATGAACATAAACTCTATTTCACACAATATATTTTGATATTGATGGCCTACCTTTATCTTCTTCCCTCAGAAAAAGTCAGAGATTCCAATATTTCGTGTTGTCAAAGCACAGAGGAGCCCAATATTGCGCAGAGCAGGCAGGAAAGTTTTGTTTGTGCGTAGGAAACCAAGCGAACAAACGGGTGATGGAACAATGGAGCATGCTGAGCCACAACCAATCACAGAGGATGAGTTTTGTGTTTTAGGGAATTTGCTGAAAATACAAAACTGTTAAAGCGCTGTGCACATCTGAGTAATACTGATGACACAGAGCTTTTAATTCAAAATGCTGCACAACCAGTAAACTCATGGCCTGCAATAGGCTTAACCAGTAGCCATTGCTGGACAATCTTATTTAACAGTTTTGAAAAGTAAAAACTAAACTCATTTTTAATTATGTTTCAGCTTATATGTTTAGGGACAATCATTGTCTATAATGGTGATGTAGTTAACATGAAATACTCAAGTCCTTTCTGCCTTTAAATACAAATTATTGTAATTAAAGTAGTGTGCTCATTTATATAAAATCAATACTTTTTTAAAGGCATGACATGTAGATTGAAATACACACTTTATTCATTAATATTTAGACTCATACTTAGTGGTTGCCCAGCACTTAGTTGGCAAGGGCAGACCAGGGTTAGTTTATATTATATTCTAGATGGAAAACTGCTCAGACATTCATAAAAAACAAACATGTGTCAGTGGACTGAAACACAGCTGCATAAATCCACAGGAGAAAATGCGTACAGATAACTTTTAGCAGCAAAGAATATGATGATCTGGATGGTGGACTTCTGATGACATCTGTGTTTACATCTGCTTTGTAATCAGTAAATCTGCTGCTAAAAGATGGGTTTTTCATAGCATCGTAGGAGTAGGAGGTGGAAAATAGTTATTATTGCTGATAAATCATTTACTCCTTTCATGGTGTTCAGTAGCGTTTTAAATAGAGGAGTGGGTCACAGATGATACATCAGGACATTGTACTTTTAAGATAGAAACAGTGGTGGGGCAAAAGTACAACATCACCAAGTTACAATTTCACACTTGTGCCATTTCACATCTATATGGTATAAGGTATACATACCTTCTCTGCTCAATGTGCTGTTACCGCTCAATCCTATGTTCCTGTTGTGTGGGTACAGCCGTAGGCCTAAATTAACATCTGCTGAGCAAACTCATTTTACCACAAGTTACCCTGCTGCTTGCATGTTTGGGTAACTCTCAGAAAGAGGCTTGGGATCCTGACAGCCTGAGAAGGTAGGCTAATATCCCTTATGGACAACACACATGGTAAGCTAGCATTTAGCCATTTGGTTTTTGGGAACCTCTCCATATTATTATTTATGTAGCCTAGATAGTTTTGAGACATGCTAAGGACAAAAGGTGATATTCATTCGCCAAATAGCTACGCTTTCAATTAAAACTTTGAAAACCAGATGCTCTTTATTTGCTCCTTATAAAAGTTATTGAAAGATTCTGTTCCTCCATTCCTGTTTCTTCTTGTTAATGTAAAAGTAGGTTTTTACGTTGTGTTACCTGGAATAGGTGCGACTTTTTCTCGAGCGACCCACAGGAAATCTCCCACGTTGAGCTTCCTCACATCGAAGCTCACTCCGTTCCTCTGCAGCTCTGACCAGATCCTGCTTGCAGTTTTTGCTGCCGCTGCACAAACACACCGACAATTCAGGAAACACACACGTTTGATTCACACAGATAAAACACACAGCTGTCTTAACCAGTTGTCTCAATGAAGTCAACACAGAGGATGATCTAGGAGCCAAGAAGAAGACTCCATGAATTTGGGTTTCTGCTCGTTGCCGGTACATTTTGGGGTTTTCCTGAAAAGAACATTCCAGGAATGACAATCCTCGGCTGGGAAGCAGAGGTCGGCCTCTCTGTAGGTCTGGAAAAATAAAGTTCAATTAATTGTAATGTATTTACAATCAGTTCAACAATACAAGTGCAATCATAAGACATAATGGAAATATTTCTGTCTTAAATATATTACTAACACATCCATAATTGGAGAGAGTTCATGTATTAAACAGAAACATTACAAGCTAAAACACACAAAGTAAAGTCAAGTAAAGTCTACATATTTTTATATCTACTTTTGCATTTTACTTGCACCATTCTGTTTCTTTTTGGACTATATGTATTCCTTTTAATGTCGTTAGTTGTTGGAAGAGGCTGGGACTTAGGATTGTCATGACCAAGACTATAGGTTATTTTGAATCTTGAATGTTTAAATGGTCCCAAAACATTTATTGTATCAGTCCAAGCATAAGTTAAAATATATTGATAGGAGAAACACAAATATATGACAAAGGGGAAAATAATGGTACGAATTAAATGCATTTCAGAGTAGAAACTAGTAGTACTTTTTGAGATAATGATAATTTTTGTCCCAGAAGAAGGTAAAGACTTCTAGGTTTTGAAGCACACTCACTGTATTATCTCCTCTTCCTTCTCCTCTTCATCATCATCACTAGCAGTGAGGTCAACAAGCCCCGGGCCACTTTCCTCTTCATCTTCCTCCTCGTTTCCTTCACTCCTGTCCTGGCCTCCTCTCTATCTCCTTCTGGACCTTTGGTTCCCTCTAAAGACTCTAAGCGCTGCCCTAAAGCCAGACCCTCTTCTGTCAGAGAAAACCTGAAGAGGGAGGAAGAGGGAACACAAATGTGACCTATATGGAAAGCGTATGTCTCCACTTCAAAACACTCTCAATTGGTTTAGAAATTGGTTCAAAAAAATCTGAAATCCTACAGAAATAATTTGTGTGTGTGTGTTTCCTGTGTACCTTGCAGGGTTGTGGGTCCTGTGAGAACTACAGGTAATATACTACTACTACTATTACTACTAGTAGCCTATTACTAGGGGAGACCAGGGACAGTTGTAACACGGGTTGGTTGTAACACCTTCAATATCTCCAATCACAAACAAGCTAGAGTGATGAAACTCACTCTGCACATGCGCAGTTAGATGGTAAGATCATTGAGAAAAAAAGGAGCCACGTTTGAATTTCTCGCGTAAGTTATCAGCAAAAGTGTGTTTCTGAGATAAAATATTAACTAAAATGATATGATGTATTTTTTGGATACTGTCTTGAGTTCAAATGTCTAGGAATCCAAACTAGTATTATTAGAATCACTGTTTTGTAAGCTACAAATATAACTAGCTAAAATGGGTCAAGCTAGCAACCAGGCAGGTTCACAGGGGGTGAAAGCAAGACTGGTGGTCCTGGGACGGTTGTAACGGGACGGTTGTAACATGGCACATTTACAATGATGGCTCATTTGCTTGAATGATCAATTGTTCATTCAAGCATACAGTTGTATTGTTGATTGGTGTGCATTGTCCCTGTACAAATACACAGAATATAATACTGTACAGTAGGCCTAAAGTGTGTGTGTGTGTTTACAGTATGCCAAATGTCAGAAAGAGGAAGACAGACAGGGGAGTGCCACTTGCTCTGCTGCAGGGGGCCTCAAATGAAGTGCAGAAGGGCAAATCATTCAGGGAAGTGGCAAAGTCCCTGGATATATGCCCTGTACCGGTTCCATACAAAGAGGCTGAGGTTGGGGAGTCAGGGATCACAAACACCCCCAAGAGTAGGCTACTGGACACCAAAGAAGGTGTTCTCAACAGAGCAGGAGATGATTTTGAGAGACTACCTGATGGAGGCAGCTGATTTGTATTATGGTCTCAGCTCAAAGGAGGTAGGTCTACATCATTAAGGTAGAATAATAGGCTATCTATACTGAACAAAAGAAAAGTAAGTGATCAAATATGTTGAGGCCTAGTGAACAGACAAGTGAAATATTTTCCAATGTATATTCATTTTAGGTGCGGAAGTTTGCCTATGAATTGGCAAAGAACTACGAATGCAACTTCCCTCAAACCTGGGCAGAGAAAGAGATGGCCAGAGCTGACTGGCTCACAACGTTTTTGAAGCGGCACCCTACAACTCTCCATACGCAGACCTCGGGCTACCAGTCTCTCACGGGCTACAAGCTTCAACCGAACAAATGTCAACAAGTTTTTTGACAACCTGTCTGCTGTCCTGACGAAGCATGGTTTTGTCACACAGGACATTTGGAATATGGACGAAACCGGAGTCACAACTGTCCAAAACCCTGGGAAGATTGTGGCCAGAAAAGGGACCAAACAAGTCGGCAGTGTGACATCTGCAGAGCGGGGCACTCTCATCACACTTGCATGTGCTGTAAATGCATTGGGAAATTCCATCCCGCCAATGATGATATTCCCCCGGAAGAAGTTTCAGCCCTTCTTCACCAGCAATGGCCCTCCTGGCTGTATTGGCACAGCAAATGGGTCTGGGTGGATGCAAGAGGAAGACTTTTTGGTCTTCCTCAAGCACTTCCAGAGCCATACCAAGAGCTCACAGGAGTCAAAAGTGCTGCTGGTTCTGGACAATCATTCCTCCCACCTTTCTGTGGAGGGGATTGATTTTTGCAGGAGCCATGGGATCATCCTCCTCTCTTTTCCTCCCCACTGTTCTCACAAACTACAGCCCTTAGATCGCACTGTATACGGGCCACTGAAGAAGCACATCAACAGCCGCTGTGACAACTGGATGAAGACTCATCCAGGATCCACAATAACCATTTACGATCTGCCGGGCATTGTGAAGAGTGCCCTTCCTCATGCTGCAACGCCATCAAATATCCAGGCAGGGTTCGCGTGCACTGGAATTTGGCCTTTTAATAGAGATATTTTCAGTGACATCGACTTTATGCCATCCCAAGTCACAGACCGCCCACCACCAGAGCCTTCTACCAGTGCAGCTCCAACACCAACTGTGGCATCCTCTCCTCCACTCGCAGCCTCCTCTCCTCCACTCGCAGCTCTCTCCTCACTCGCAGCCTCCTCTCCTCCACTCGCAGCCTCCTCTCCTCCACTCGCAGCCTCCTCTCCTCCACTTGCAGCCTCCTCTCCTCCACTCACAGCCTCCTTTCCTCCACTCACAGCCTCCTTTCCTCTACTCGCAGCCTCCTCCCCTGTCAGGCCATGTGTGGAGCCTGGGACATCATCCTCTGCAACGCCTTTCTCACCCATGTCCATCCCTCCACATCCAAAAGCTGGACCAAGGAAGCAGACCACAAAGGGGAGAAAAAGAAGAGAAACCGCTGTCCTCACAGACACTCCTATGAAAAATCTACTCGAGGCTGAGAAAAAAAGATCTAACGCAAAGAAGTCTAAAGCAAAGAAAAAAATCAATTTCTGCAACAAAAAAAACCCCAACAAGAAGCAGAAGATGCAGGACTCATCTGATGAAGATGAGGCCCAATACTGCATTGTGTGCCTGGAGAGCTACTCCAGGTCCAAGGAGATCTGGCTGCAGTGTTGCTCCTGTAAAGCCTGGGCACACAAGGACTGCACAGATGGAAGTGCCTTTTACACCTGCCACAACTGTGAATCTGATTAATTCTGGTGTTATGTTTTAAGTTCTGTTCATTGTTCATTGTTTGATGGAGGATGTGTGAAACCCCATTAAAATCTTGTTATCTAATTTGACAGCTTTCCCCTATTTTTTGTCATGTAGTGTGAAAAAAGGTAACCGTTATTAATATGTTACAACCGTGCCTGGCATGTGCTACAACTGTCCCTGTACACAAGGACAGTTGTAACAGTTGAGTTTTTAAAAAAAAATACATTTTCCAACCTGTAGCCTACTTATTTCATAAAAACATCTTAAATACATTGTTTCAGTAGCTGACATATTGATAATGTATAATATAGCAAAATGGCTATCCTATTGTAAATGGTTTTTTACTTATTGGGGAAAAACCCAAAAAGTGTTGCAACTGTCCCTGGTCTCCCCTACTACTTTTACTTACAGTAGCCTATACTACTATACATTTGATATCTAACTCCTTCAGCCCACTTTCAGCTCGGAAAACAATTGAACTATAACATTTTCCAGCTATTTCAGGCTATACATGTTGTTGTTAAGCTTCATCACTATTTTCCTACTCTTCCAATTCAACATGTCAATTTGAAGTTTTCAACAAAGTCAGTGCAATGCATTTGAGCTGTTAACAAATCATTTAACTTTTCTGCATTTTCCCGCAAAGTTCAGCAACACACGTAGGCCTACTTGGTTTCTGCTGCTAAAAGCATCTCACCATTCAACTATTAAAATATTCAGCTTTTTCTGCATGTTTAGCTAAATTCAGCAACACATTTGCGCAGCTTACACCATTCGCACGCATTTTCTAGTTATACCTCCATGTTCTTATTATACATCCATGATCCATGGGCCCATCCCGATATCTATGATATCCATCCGCTGTACGCATGCGCACTGATGGCTGCCCACATTTGGGACACTTGACTTTTGGTGCGTGCGCATACTTACCGAGGAAAAGTCTCAGTTTTTTTCATAAAACAAAATACAACTATTGAGCTATTGAGTTTAAATGGTCAATTAATGATTAACAACAGCAGCAATCGAGGATGTTTCATGATATTCATTTGACTTGGATATCCATTTCTTAATTCCTTAGCAAAACGATCTGCTTTTTACTGCCAGCAGGTGGCTCTTTGCCCATTGCGTCAATCAGATTCATTTTTATTGGACATTTATGTCGACACACAAGGGATTTGATCCCATTTCCCAAAACCCTCTATGGCTACCTTAAATGTACAGGACAATATGAAAAAATACACATTATAGCCTATACAAAGATAGCTAAATAGATAGATATAAACACACTTTAAAGCTATTATATATAGCCTTAAAAAACATTCTACAATTTATACAGATCATAGTGTTACAACAATATGTATAGGGTTTTGGTGTGTGCAAGAATGCACGTAAATATGTATATTGATATACTGTATATCTGCTAAGACTGGTGCATGTTAACTAAAGGATATGATGTTAGAGGCCTAAACACTTAGGATAGCACAATGCTCCCCATTATACATGGTTTATGTTAGTTGGAAGCTTTTAGACCACTGTTGAAAAAGAGTATATCTGCCAATGGCAAATTCAGGATGTTCTATTTGAATATATAAAACATGTGTTTTTCCTGCTAAGACAAGTGCAAATGTCTCCTTGTTATACCTGATGTTATGTATTGATGTGTGACACCTACCCGCTGCTGATGATGCTTTAAAAAAAACATAACCTTATAAAATCCAACAGCAGCTGTTGATAGTGGATGTACTGGTTATTCATTGCCACTCTAAATGCTACTGCTTTAAGTTCTGGAGCAGAGGTATTCAAAGTAGGACGTAGGCCTCCCATGGGGCTCCCGTGATTGGATTTGAGCTGTTAGTTAAAATAAGATCAGAGATAGAGCACAAGATATATCATTTTGTAAAGACATTAGGTGTTATCTGAAGTAATGCCACACAGCAATATTAGGCTATGTTTGCCTAATTTATGAGTGCCTTTGTGATCAAATAACATAATCAGGATCCCATGGGAATGAATAAATTAAACAAAATTAAATATAGTAAACAGGGGTTGCACCTTTTCAAAGCTTCATGGGAGGGGAGGCCCAGAGGTCCAGACTTTTAAAACCCCTCCACTAGAGGATTTACTGATGACCAGCAAAATACATCACATGGTGTCCCTGATCACAGTCACCCTGCGTGTCTCCGTTATGACCAACAGATGGGGCTATTTATCCAGTCTTGCAGCAAAAATTAAAACCTGAGTTGGATTTCCTTGTTGTTGTCAAGGGGGATTACATAATGACTTTTTCTTTTTTTTTTATGACCAACTGGTCATTTTTCTTCAAATACATGGTCCGATACAGATTATCATCTGTAGAGTCGGTATAGGGGTACAACACTAAGGATAATGTCCTGCTGGCATGTGGGCTTCAGATAATAATAATAATAATAATAATAACAACTTATTTCTTGGAAGTGTTGATGACATTTAGACTTGCTTTCTTTAATTAAAAATGAAGTTGTTTTTATTCTACTAATGTTTTATTCAATAGTTTAACCTATTCACCAGGGCGGTGGTGGCGAAGTCGATAGGGACTTGGCTTGGCAACTGGAAGGTCACTGGAAGGTCAAGTCCCGGCAAGACCAAGTCCCAGCAAGACCAAGTGCTACCGAGTGCTACCGAGGTGTCCCTGAGCAAGGCACCGTTCCCCACACTGCTCCCCGGGCGCCGTTCAAAATGGCAGCACACTGCTCCTAACACTAGGATGGGTCAAATGCAGAGAAACAATTTCTCCACGAGGGATTAATAAAAGTCCATCTTTTCATTTTGATTTCTTTGCTGACTTTATTTATTTGTCAAGGACAACAGAACAAAACAGTTGTTATACTTCATTACTTTCAAAATGTCTAAACACAGCCATACAATACAGTATCAACATGAACAAAACACTCCAGTAGGAAAAAAAATCACCAGAAAAAAAGCCCATGATTTGTTCAAAAATATCCTCCCATGACTCTGTATGTAACTTAATCAAATGTAGTCAGCAGCTCAAAACATTCCTCAAAGCCACATCATTTCCAGTGTCTCAATATTAAAACACAACTTGTTGTTGAAGCCAGACTGATCCATAACCTTTTTTTGTTCATTCAAAGTGATTGTCAGAATGTCAGGTTACAAGGCCAGTAATGTATATTTAAAGCTGGAGATTGAATCAACTGTAATAGAAAATTACTTATTAAAGACGAGATTTAAGGTGAGCCAGAGAAACGTTCTCTATTCAGATGAATTCAGATGAATGTGAAAACAGCCTTTTTGTGTCAAACTCTGCCAACACATCATTGTGCACAGTGAAGGTCATTTTACTGAAGTAACACATAGTAAAACACATTTTGAATGGAGGAAGACTTGAAAAGTAAATTATAGGATGGTTAATGTGGAAAAATAATCATCCACATTATAATAGTGAGTCTCAATCAGGAGTATGTGTACCCGAGGGTGTACTTCTGTTTCAAAAGGGTCCCTGGCATATGAAAAATGGAAAAAATGCATGAATAATCCAAAAACTACATTAAATGATAATTAGCTTGTAACACTTTGTCAACTCGTGCTGAGATTAAGAACCTGAAAATATGTAGAAAGTGAGATGAGAACATCTGCTGTGATGTGCAAAATAAGTTTGATCTCCTCTGATGTTTACAAGATGTTTACTGTAGAGGAAACTTCTGTGTAGCAATGCAGTGGAGTCACCGACTCAGGAAGGAGACACGGGAAGAGTCGGAGCTTTGATGTCAAACCACTGTGATTTATTTGGAGTTTCTGGCCAGAGTATTCACATCACAAGTCACGGCAGTCACGGTGAGACTGCACGGGTGGGTTGCACGTCAATTCTGGAGAGCCTGTCTCTTGCTAGCCCATTTAATTGGTTCCACAGAGAGTCATCAACATGTTTTGATAAGATAGCTTTAGATAGTTTGGGCACAATAAGTTACCAGCTTCCGCCACTTATGGCCTTGCATATGTCATGCCCTGGAGTCCTCAGACACCAGAGAAGGAAGTGTCCCAGTGTACCCACAATACAGACCATCTGTGACCCAGTATTGACCGGTCACAGAATGGGAACAATAACATTATTGGCTGAAGCAGCCTGTGTCCTTAAAGGAGGTAAACAGACGTCAAGGTTTGTCTTAGCGTCTATGATAATTATTTCCCTAACATTTACTTTAGGGCTGATTTGCTCAAACATCATAACATGTTTGGAAGCCAATTGTGGTCGAAATCTAACCTACAGTTTGATAATTAAACTTTAATTTAAAGTATTGCAATCCCTATTATGGTTTATGTCTGAAAACATGTCTGGAATAGGCTTAAACCTGACACATTGAGTACGGTCGGTTAGATAACTCTGAAACCAGCAAATGGCATTATGACCGAAACGAGACACCAACATAACATTAGACATAATGTGGTGATCTACAGTGTCAAATGCTTTGGCTAGGTCAATAAGCAATGTAACACAAACAGATTTTTGATCCAAAGCAGCCTTAATATCGTCTAAGACTTTCAGACTGGCAGTCACAGTACTGTGCTTTGATCTGAATCCAGATTGCATAGGGTTAAGGATGTTGTGTGAATTTAAAAAAAGTTTTAGCTGAGTAGAAACTAGGGACTCAAGAATCTTTGATAACACAGAAAGATTTGAGATAGGACGATAGTTATTCAACTCCGTGGGATCACCAGCTTTCAAGAGGGGCGATACCAGAGCTTGTCTGGTTGATCCAGTTGAGTACATTTGTCTACTCATGTGAAGTGGCCTCAGCAAGAGATGACTGTGTATGTGTGTGTATGTGGGGGGGGGACCACAGAGGCCCTAATCCATGCTACAGGCCATGCAATTGTAGAACCCTTTTAAATTGCATCGGATTACCATTATCCTCCTAGCCTGGTGGGACACAGTGAGTATTTGCCAGAGGCAGTGGAGTCCAACTCACTTTCCTCACCATCCGACTGCCTCTCTGCCAACAGACTGTAAACCAATGAGATCTGCACACAAGAGGCTCATGCAGCAGATGAAGGTGCAGACGTGGAGAAAGCCTTTTTATATCCCACTCGCTGTCCTATTTCAGGAGTCGCACAGCGAGATAAAGGTTACCTCCGTCCTTTCATTAGGCCATATTCACAAACAGGTCTTTTCACAATGCAATCTAAAGAAGGCATCAAATAATTCACTATCTCATATCAGAAGAGCCATTTTGAAATGTTCTCAGAGACATTTGGCTCTGATGGAAAAATTCCAGCTCACTTCATTTTCCCCTCTTTCTCGCTGTCCTGTCTTTATTCTCCTGCAAGTCATGGATTATCCAACACACATACATGTGGTTTCATGTCAAAATTAAGATATTTTGTTCACTGCTTAAATGGTTTTTACTTGAAATATCCCAGGAAACATTCAAAATGTGTGTTAGTAGATTTTTAATGTTTTGACATAACATTTTGACATTACTGCAGATATGGTCCTCATAAAATCTATGCCTCAAGATTTACGAGGAATTTCTGTTCATGTCTTTATGTTCTTCATTAAATTAGGAGTATTCTATAGTATCACAAATGATCTATTTTACCACAGATATTGTTCATTTCAGAGCCCAAATGTTAAAATTATTTGCATGTCCAGGGTCAAAACAGATTTAGTTTTTGACCAAAAATGAACATTAATTTGATCCCCAAAGTTATATTTTCAGGGAGACATCAGACCACAGGACTGATCTACATGACCAGGCATACAATGCTTCAGCTATACTCATGTAATATTCAGTACGATTCACACATGGACAGAAGCATTTTCTAATAAATGTTTTATTGGTCAGTTTAAAAATGTTGACAGAACTAACACACTGGTGATCTACAGGGACAACACAGTACAGTCACACTGAAATGAGAGAAACAACACACACACACACACACACACACACACACACACACACACACACACACACACACACACACACACACACACACACACACACACACACACACACACACACACACACACACACACACACACACACACACACACACACACACACACACACGTGATGGTAACACATTTTCTGCCTCACGTCTTCTCCAGTCTTTTATCAAACACGCGCATTATCATGGTTTCATGGTCAGGGGTAAACAGATACATTCATTAATGTGCTGTACAATAATGTTATATTTTCTTCAACTTCCCATTACTTAAAAATACAATATTTTTTAAACCCGAAATCCATCTTAAATGATACATCTGATCACATTTAAAAACACGGAGAGAGGGTGAAGAAATCACAAGAGTTAATGATGATATCATCAAGATAAAACAAAAATAGTTCATGAAAAGGCAGATGGCAAGCCTTGATAATTTCCCTTTAGTCTTCAGTTTCTCATAAGATGCCATGGCAACAGATTGATGGTGCACAAAGACAGGAAATCAGGGAGAAAAGAGGAGGATGTGTGGTCATGAAGCTGGAGTCTGTCTACATGAGGTTCTGGAAACAAACACAGAGAGCAACGTTTAGATACAGGTTAAATACAGACACAGAATTTGTATAGGCTAATACCGAATCAATATCTTTGAGATATTATTTTCTGAATTTTAATTCATAAAAAAAATTAACACACACAGACGAGGACATTTAATCGTATGAAAATTGTCAATGCTCTCTAATGGACAAACTACCAGTGACTTTATACCTGGTTTATAATAAACATTTACTATACAATTATTTCACAAAAAGTGGAATATGAATATTGAGAAAAAAAAGTTTATGGTCTTGGCTGAGGGAGAAAACTTTATGCATCGATTAATAAAAAAAATGCAAAAGTGTAATCCAAAAAGACGTAATAAATCATGAAATTCATGAGGCATGATTCATTCTTAGTCCACATGTACAGAGGTATTTTGGAAAACAGGGTTTTGTTCTCTTCTGTCTAAAAAATAAATCCCACCCACATTAGCACGGTTTTAAAAAAATAACACACATTTTCAAAGTCCACGCGTGGGTGGATTGGAACTACCTCACACAGGTCTCGTCAAAACTGGCAATGTTGTAACATCAGAGTGTTGGCGAGGTCTGTTATTTCCTAAAGTACCTGTGTATGTGTGGACAAAGCATTCAATGTCTACAGAAGCTTTCAAAAGGACCTCACTGCAGTTTCCAGTCATTCATTCGTTCTCTTTCAAGCCTAAACAAAGTGTTTTCACTCTCAGAAGACACATTTCAGGTGGAGTATGGTATCACTTTAATGATTTATTTAATCCTTATCTTTTGAGGCATATATGTTTTCTAATAAAAATGAAGAAATGTGACCTCATTAGTGACGCATCGCAAAAAAGATAACTCTGACATTACAGGCCATAAACTCAATGTTCCCGGTCTACAGGATTAATGAAAATGTTCACTCTAGAATTACAAAATAACTTCCAGTGACCTAAAAACACCTTTTGTATGAGATGTGACACCTAATAACTACCTGTGAACATATGGACTAAGCCTTATAGAGGTCACTTAGTTAGCTGATTACTTTTGTCAGTTTACTGGTAAACTGACGCACACTACACAGACACAATGTTTGTTAAGCACCTGTAAGTCTAGACATACCTCATCTCTCTTCCGGCCTGCGGTGTAGGGTCGCGAAAGGACTCCTCCACCCAGGGAACCGTAGCCTGACATCTGGACCTGGGGCACGAAGCCGGACTGTCCGTATGGGATTACATTCTCCTCTGTGGAGGACAAACAAATCACTCTAAGTTACAGCTGTATTTATATAGGTTAAACCCTAAGTGACTGAACATAGACCCCCTGCTACTAAAAGCAGCGCTACTACTAGGGGATAATACGTGTGCATGCAAGGGAGCCCATTATTTCTAAGCTCCAAGGGATTTGTATGTAAGCATCACAATAATATGAATACACATCTATTTGGGTGCCAGCTGTTGACACGAGATTGCTCTTGTGACAGAAATTGTTCTTTTATCATCTCTGGCTGTCAGATACAGAGTGATGCTACAGAGGTGAGTATCACATACTGCACTTACCCTGTGGTGACCACTTTGTAGCTCCTCTCCTCTGGGGTGAGAAATGTTCTCCCCTCCTCTGTAGAGTAGGCGAGTCGCTCCCCTCTTCTTTTTCAGCGTCTGGCTGCAAGGAGTCATCTGTAGGGGGAGGGGCTGGTGGAGCGGGAAGTTCTGCATATGATTGATCATTGATGATTATTAAACTACAAAGAGAAATGCTGCTTAAAGAAATAGTTTATTTAGCACAAAAAAAAGGTATTTGTTTCTTGGGAGTTTCAAGAAAAACAGTTGGCTTAGCTTAGCATAAAGAATGGAAACAGGCAGCCTGGCAATACTCAAAATATCACTTAGTTTACTAACATTGCCTCATATTTTTATCTTGTTTGTTGAATAAAACGTGTCAATTGGTTGTTTCTTGGGGGTTAGCTGCCAAACTTGTTCTTGGCAGTTGCCAGGCAACAAGTAGAGGATGTAACTGCTTCTCAAAACTCTACAAGATGCAAATAAAAGCATTTAGCAACATGTCAAATTGTATTTAACATTTGCAACACTACAACTTACAATATTTAGACAGCAATGAATGCTGGCTGAATTTTTACAGCCCCATTTCTGTGAGAATGTACTGTTTTGATAAATTATTGGATAAACTGGAAACATGAATTGATCACCAACGTTATTATAGCTGAGGTTGAGGGGGACATGCAGTGGTGGACTAGCAGAGCAACATTGCCATCCATAGAGCTAAGCTGCTGGTGTGGAATAAAAATGATTACATAAGAGTCTTATAATTAGTATCATTGTATCTTTTTTTGCAAACTAAAACAGAAGTTAGATGAGCTACACACAGTGTGTCATACCTGCTTGACTATTTAGCTCTCGCCTGAGTTGTCCATCCTTGGATGTTTTCTTCTTACCCCTGGATCTGTGTGCTGGGGCTGGGGGGCTCAACTCGGCAGCTGGAGCAGGACATTGTCCTGACAAGACAGCACACTGATGTTATCCTCAGGAAACTTAGAACACTGAGCTGCACTTTAAATAAATAGGACATGATTTTTCACGTACCACTACTTACTGCTGGGTAACATCATAAACTAAATTATACACGACACTGTGTGGTTGTGCGCTGCCTCTTGGGAAGTCACTTTCAAAGATGTGAACTGAATATGAACTGACCTTTTCCGAGGCTTTCCCCCTTGAAGTCTTCCGCCCATTGGCTGGTGTGGTACACCTTCCCGGGAACATGGGCCTTGGTGTTGGTGAACAGATTTGGGTTGGACTGGGAGACCTCGGAGTGCTGACGGGCCAAGAGGTCAAAGTGCTGCAGCCGTGCGATGTCGCTGGGCTGGAGTGTGTCTCGCTGCGGGGAAGACATCAGTGTTTCTGAGAGGAAAGGCTCGTCTGGTTTGGAGGGCAGGCCGGACAGCTCCTCCCTGGAAGCGTCCATCAGGTAGGTTCTGGCAGGCAGCGGAGGACACCAGTTCTCGTCTTCCTCCTCAGAGCTAGAGGACAGACAGCGAGGGTTGGCAGCATAAGTTAGTGTTTCAGAAGGATAACACTGAACATGAATTTTAATTACATGTAATTAATGTGAATTAAACAAGACCTGCCACAACGCCATGTGGGCCCTGTTCATCATCTTAGTTTGAAGCTAGTCTGCTTAGAAATGTAAACTAAAACATCCAAGATACACATTTAAATGTTTATTTTTCTACACTTTGTCTATTTTATTGTCTAGATTTCTCCCAAATAAACAAAGGGTTAGCATTAGAAGCCTAATTTGCATATTTAAAATGTCACCAAAATCAAAGTGATTTTTATCCTGGGTTTACCCAATGTTTATAACAGAAATGTAGAGGCACAAATGCTGACATTTATTAACAAGCTCTAAACACAAAAGAACAGCTGATTGATAATTTCATTAGTTTTCAGATTTTTGGTAATAAACCAAGATATAGGAGAAATTAAAAAGATCATAAGTTATCACAACTTATAACAAGGCCGCTTTCAGACACAAATGTCTTTACCAAAATGAATTGCAATCAATTCAAAAGCTGTTGAGGCACAGAAATATCAACCTGCTGGTGACATTTGAGAACAATCCAGGGGATCACAAATCTCATAGGTAAACATCTTCTGTGGGCCATGAATATCCGTACATAAATAAAAAGGCACGCCACTAAATATTTTAATCTGGACCCAAGCAGTGGACAGACAAACCAAGAATGGCATCCATAAAGACATACCAGTGACATTGCCAAAAAAAAGCTGATTATGGAAAAGACGAGTGAGAGGATAGTTAGTTAAATAATCTCTTTCCACATTTATATGTAAAGGAAAATGTGTTTAGTGTGAGAGAGAACCCCCTCCCTGATTTGTGCTGTCACTTTAGTGCTGTCAGGGCTATTTTAATGATGGACGTGTCATTCAAAATGGAAAGTACTAATCCAAACTGTCAGATCGTGGCTAATGTCATTAAAAAAGACACAACACAGTCAGAACAGCCCTCCGATCCCACCCCGTTATATGTCCGCAATCTATTCTGTCAGAAGCAGTTAGAGGAGCCGCCCGCTCCCCTCTGAAGCCCCACAGCTCAATCTACTCCCTGCCTGCAGACACTACTGTAGTTAATTTGAAAACTCCCCAGACTCCAAACTTCACTGAAGTTTAGTTTGACAGCCTTGGCAGAGTTACAGGGCAGGTTTGATATTTTTCCATCTGCCTTAATTCTCTCTGTCATGAAGGTGAAGCCTTGATTCTATAAATAAATGTAACATTAGATGGTACAAAAGCAATTGTGTTGTTAGAGGAGGATAAAAGGGTCTTGATGCACAACTTAAGTGAGTCTAAATAAGTCTCACCTGTGTGGCATCTCCTCTCTGTCTGTCTTGGCGAGACCTCTCTCTTTGTGGGCAGGAAGAGGCAGCGACAAAACATCCACCCAGGTGAGAGGAGCTGACTTTGACGAAGACCCCGCTGACCTCTGCTTTACCAGTTTATCTATAAAGCCAAAACACAAAAGATCATATTGTTTGCAAGATGTGTATTTCATATCTCTACCCTGTGGTTGAAGCCCGTGGCTGTATTAAAGATATGCTTTAAGATAATGCAGCTTTTAAACTATTGTTTGTCCATGCTTTGCCTATAATTGCCTGAAGGACATTTATATTCGTTGACTGTTTTTTATGGCATGTTACATTAATTTGATTATTGACTTGTGTTTCAAACACATGTACAGGTATGCTTCACCATTTAAATTAAATTGCTACAATTAGTGTCAGAAAGAAGGTAATGCTGCTTTTCAAAAGGAAAAAGCACTGGCAACTTCAAGTTATGCGATGTCTCAGTTAATTGTGCAAATGGGTCTTAATAAAATCTCAGGCACCATTTTCACATTCATTATTTAGATTTCTTTCTTTTTTTGGTGTCTAGTGTGAAGTCTTACATACAGAAACATGAAGTCATACATGTTCTGTATATTTATGAAAATCAAGTTGACCTCTTTACAATTAGTGCACAATGACTTGCACATTCTTTGAGTAAGGCATTTGAACTAACATCATCATCAATATTAATGTATGGCATAATAATGTGTATCAACATGCATCCAACACAGTTTGGGTCAGCAGTAGTTTGAAATCATTGTGCACGCTGCACTTATCTACTGGTAACCATGGAAACAATACTCAAGGTTCATGTCGCAATACACAGTAATTCTCGGATGAAACAAACTTGGCTTAAAAGTACAAATATGAATAAATAATTGCAAAATGAAAGCAATACATTTACACATTCCAGCTGTGTCAGATCAGGTGAGATATTTCTTCACAGTTTTATTAACTTTAAATGATATAAAGCAAGGGTGTCAAACTCAATTTCATCGCGGGCCATATTAGCATTAAGGTTGCACTCAAAGGGCCGGTTGTAACTTTAAGACTGTATAAATATACACATATAAATATATAATATAAAATAATGTATTATATTACATTATTGCCTCTGCATTGGATTATTATCGGATAGGGTAATACGTTCATAATTAACTATGTCTGAAAGCAGAAGTCTAGGGCAAATAATTGCAAATAATTGTAAGTCTCTTCAGTGGCATGTCACAAAATGAGATGCATTGTGGGACATGTAGTTTATTGGGAACATGCTTCTGTAAAGCGGCATTTACATAATAATAAATAATAATAAACGTATTATTTTCTTTGCAAGCTCTTGCGGGCCAAATAAAATGAAGTCGCGGGCCGGATTTGGACTGTGGGCCTTGAGTTTGACACCCCTGGTATAAAGGGACAGAAAAACCCTCACCGGTGTTTTTCTTTGAATACTGAAGCTTGGCATATTCAGACCCAGACTGGCCGGACTGGATGGTCCACTGGTCCAGGTCCAGCTCCAGACCCACGAGGCCATTGTTTGACAGGATGGGGTTGCTGCAGTAGGGGTCCGGGCCCTTGTTGAAGGACGCGCTGGAGTAGGTGTCGTAGTACGCCAGTAGGTCGTCCTCAGCGGTGGGGTTGATGGTGCTGTAGATGGGACTGTCGTTGGAACCCGTGCTGTGTTTCGCTGTATGGTTTGGGTAGTTCATGATGCCGATTTCTAAACAGCAACGGTTGTTTTAACAAGGACAAATATACACTCAGTACTGTGAAATTAGATATGTCTCCATACACTCAAATTCAGAGAGCTCTTACCGTTATAATATCTGTCTGAGTCCAGTTTTCCCGAGCAGTAGTTGACAGAGTCTTTGCTGTGAGTGAGGTTGGGATTGGGCCAAGAGTCAGCCAGCCAGGGGTAGTTGCCCATGTTAGACCCTAACAAGCCAGGCCTGGACATAGAAGTGAGATTATATCAGTGCTTTGTACATAAAATACATAAACATCTGTGTCGAATAATGGTTTTTATTTTACCCTCCATTGAGTCCAGATCCTTCACTGTGAGCGAAGCCAACTGGAAAAAAAACCTCTCAATTATTTTTTTAATCCAAATCAGATAATGTTGTTGTCTAAAGAATAAAAAAAGACACATAAACATTTTTAAATCAATATTTTATAAAGACATACTTTTGACCTATACTGTAAACACATCTGCTTCATTATGCCTGCAATACGTAAACATGGAAAATCGTATTTGATCAATGAAGCTTGCTTGTACAGTCACTAGAGTCGATGGCATCTGAATAAACAAGATATACTGTACCCAAACAATACAATCTTTATTGATAAGTATGGAAATAAAACTAATTTAAAAATATTTCTGGGAAAATCAAATTGCATACGCTTTCTCTTTATGCTTTTGGCAGTTCATTGAGTATTTATGAACATGTACAAATATATCAAAGTCAGAAAATAACTGATGTGTTTATGTGCTTCTGCGCCAAAAGGCAAACACAATCTCAAATAAAAAGCATACAGTGCTTACTGTTTACTTTTGCATCAGTGTTTTCCTTTATTTCTTCCATAAAACTGCCTAGTGGGGATAAATACATTTTAATTATCTGGATATGCAGCACAAGTGCGTTCAAACTGAAATTGAGAACATTCATCACCGCTGGAAATATGCCCAGCGGTATATTAAGAACTTGTCACTTAAAGTCTGTTTACGTTTTTTTCTTTTCTTATCCTTTTCATGGACAAAAGATTTATAATATATAAGATGTGACAAGAGTGCCACTGAAGGAGTTCTGAAACCATCCTTAAGATCATTTAAAGAGTTCTCCCAATTACCTGCTGGTGTGTATGCAAAGGATGTGGTGTAGTGTCCCAGCTGCTTCCTCCGGCGGTGGCGGCAGTACAGCCAGCCGCTGAAGCCCGTCAGCACCAGCCACGCAGCCACACCCAGCCCCGCGATGAAGGCCGGCTGCCGGACTACGCTGGTGATCTGCTCCGATATGCTGAGGCTACCATCTTTCTTCACAGACGTAGAAGACTTGTCCAGAGGAAGAGCTGAAACAAAAGCAGTAAAGTTTAAGACAAAGTGGAGTGTTGTTCTTTATCTATGCATCTTGGTGGTAAAAAAATCACCAAGAATAAAATGAAGTGTCAACAATCCAGTTTTATTTTACTTTAATGAACAATTCCAAACAGCAGAAGTATGTAAACAGTTTGTTTATGAGGCGAGCAGCAAAAGTTACCATCTTGGAAAAATTGATTAACACTTCCAATGTGGAACATCTAGAGTTCATCCTTATCTCATGGTATGAAAGCTGCAGTATTAGCACACACTTTTGAAAGTGGCATAGATTTTCTTATTCGAGCAAATAAGCGTATTTCCCAAATTGCCAAATAGTCCTTTAAGTTGATTATACATCATAACTTAATGTCTTTCTATTCTTGATTTTGAAATCTGATTATCCTCTTGTGGAGAGATAGATATAAGCTTAGCAATGCCTTCAGCCTTGAAACGGGCAAATAGCTAGCCTAACTGTGTCCAAATGTAACTAAAATCAGGGCCGCCCCTCCCTACAGGCCATTCACGCAAGCTGCATGGGGCCCCGCCTTGCGCAGGGGGCCCCGCCCAGAGGGCCTCAGCTGCTGTGCGCAGTTCTCCGCTCAGTTCTCCGCGCATCCCCGCGAGAGTGAGAGTGAGAGGTGAGACAAGGGGAGCACGTTTGTAACCCGACACCGTTGCAATGAATCGGCATCTGACCAATCACGACTTTGATACGGCCACTAGTGCAGGTGAAGAGATGTCGGTGAAAAGACAGTTTCAGTCCGGCGCAAGCAAGAGGGGAAAAAAACAAAACATGAAGAAACTAGAGCATCACTCGAAGGTGGGCTATTGTATGAGTCAAATTGCCAATTGCCATATTAAAACATCAGCTGCAATTCACGACATGAAGAAGGCAGTCTCTGCATAGCATATAGGCTAATGGAGATGCAGTTATTTCCAGCATTCTTTATTTACCATTCATTCAAGTATGTTATGCCTTTTACCTGCTAATGTACAGGAGGAAGAGTGATACACTGTCTGTCTAGTTAGCTTACATAACAGTTCAAGTTTACAGCCTAAACAACATGGAGCATTTTCCCCCTTTTATTCATTTTTATGTCAATTTGCACATTTCATGGTGATGCTCAGCCTCTCCCCTTAACTCCTAACAGTCATCATCATGTCAACCACAACACAGAGAAATACTGATAGAAATGTGTGTGTAGTTGTTGATACATTGCTGACAGAGGGAACTAGAATACAGATTTAAGAAATATCAGTTTTTGAGCATGTCATAAGCATGTTTTGTCTTGACTACATTACAACTATATTATAATAAAATAATATAGTATTTATATTATTGAATTGATTATGATTATGATTATTATTATTAGTAGAAGTAGTTTATTTGCATTCATTATATTTTAATCTTTTTGAGGCTAGTATTTGGCAGGAAATGCAGACGTATTCACCTGTAAACGCATACTGAACGACATACATGCACATTTACCATTTACCTCACTGTATACAAAAGTAACTGTGTTGATAATAATAATAAACAGGAATTATATTTGCAAAGTAGCCTACTTTTTTTCCCACTCTTGTCGGTTGGGGGGGGGGGGGGGGGGGGGGGGGGGGGGGAGGGGCCTCATCTCACAATGTCGCTTGGGGCCCCAAGTTGGCCAGGGGCGGCCCTGACTAAAATAGATGTGTTTGGTACCTGATAACAAGTTATGTGTGACACACATAGACCTCTGATCTTTTTATGAAGTGTTGTGATCACATGGGTTAAACAAACAGGATGCCACATGGTAAATTGAGCTGGATTTTGGATTGTGGATTTTGTTACATCTGAACAGAGCCAGGCAGGCTGTTTTGAGGCTTTATGTGGGTCATCCCTGTTTTCATAGGGTCCCTATAGTTAGAGAGATGAAGGCTCTTTTGGTTGTTAATTAGCAAAAGAACAAAGGAAGATGGACATTTTGAATGTAAAAATCGATGTGGAGAAATCAATTATTAAAGTCAAGATTTTCCACAACATAAGCATGCCTCTGTTGTAAAGTCACTCACACAGCATATTCAACATTCCACATACAGATCATTCATTTGCGGTGAGCATACCTTGCAATATGTTCTCTATCTTTAGTGTAGTGTAGCAGTTTGAGTGACTCACTAATAAGCAGGCTGACAGGTGGGCTGTGGGCCCCCACACCCAGGCTGGTGACAGCAGCCAGCACCACGGTGTAGGGGACGTCAGGCATCAGGCCGGTCAGCAGGATGGACAGCACCTCTCCGTCTACTGTCCGGTTTATCTGGTGCTCCTGCTCCATGCTGCTGCCCAGACACCACACCTGATCCACGGCATACAAAGAGGATTCATGTTTGAATCATGTAAACCTGATAAAGACGCTCATTTATCTGTACTGAGATGTTATTATAGCAAGACAGGCACTGAAGCTTTATCTGCTAGTGCACGGTGCGGATTGACGACAAAGCAGAGACGACAGATATTTCAATGCAATGACAGTTGAAAGCCTGATGTTGCAAATGTTTGTGCCTTAAGGCATTCACTTTATGTATTGGGTGCGTTGCTTTTCCATTGAAGTTAATGCATGTTGGATTTATGTCTTTTACAATCCTGCAGTGGGAGAAACTATTTTGAATTCTTAAGTAACAGTACCACTAATAATAAATAGGAAGTCAAAAATAACAACAGAAGTTCATAAAAAGTTCCCAGAATATTTTTGAAATAACTGTAGTAATAGCATACAGAGTACCGTTTGATGAAAAGCTAAAATCTTTATCTCCAAATACTATCTTTTAGTTGTATAATGCAGTGGAGTAAAAAGTATAATAATTGCCTTAGTGCCTAAACAACTACATGTTTGTATTAAAGGAATCCTATAACAGCATACTGCCAAATCAACATTTCATATTTAGCATTAAAGCCACAGTGAGGCTTGTCCAAAAACCTTGTGTGCAATTCTCAGCTAATTGAATGTTTAAAAGGGATTAAGCATGATCCTTGCCTTGGGCTGATGAGCCCACAAAAGGCTCCGGCACTTCATGATCAGACTTGTGAGGTCTTCTCACTAACTTTCTACATGTAGACGCAGATGGGCAGAATAAATCAAAACTATAAAACTGAGTGTTCCTATTTCCCCCCCCTGATATAGCAGCCTGATGATTAGTAATTAGTGTTGTGCTCATACTAAGAGACAGATAATCAGAGCTCACGCAGCAAACAGATGACAGGGACAGTCCGTGTTCAATCTGATGACAACATTGTCTTGTTCTGCGCCAGCAATGCATGTACTGGCAGCAGATAAGATGCATGAGTGATTACTAATTGTTAATTAAAATCAGTGTTTTCCATCAAAGTATCCAAACAACAAAGTTGGACACCATTGAGTGAAATAGCATGGATTACAGAACAATCTTTTCCAGTTTATTTATTTATACATTTGGGTATCTGGAGTGCTTGCCCATAAACTGGGAAATAAGACCTCCCAGTCAGTTTGTGGGTTGCCGGAGTCAGAAAACATAGGATTAAAAAGGCTATTCAGATTTGTTTTCTTTTGCTATGTCAAATAAAGGCTCATTTTAATATACCACCATCCATCTGACTATCTCCACCCATGCCTGAGATCTAGCTTTGCAATGTCTCTGCAAGCCAATCAGAGCAGGCATACATTTGTTTAGGAGCAGGCCTTAAAGAAACAGGCTCAATAGACAAACTGTTCAGACAGAAGATTAATACTGGTATATTTGGACAGACAGTATGAAAAAAATATGTATTTTTTAGCATTAAAGCAAGTAAACATGTTTTAGTATGAACCCAACATTGTTTCTGTTTTATTGTGTTGCACTGTTGGAGGAGCCTGTGACCTAAGATGTTCATCTTCATAACTACACTGTAGCTATGTACGTATGACTAATAAAAGCCTTGAACCTTGAACGTTGAAATACAAGTGTGAACCTGCAAATGAGCATAATATCTCCACTTTATAAAGCAGAAATACAAATCAGAGAATAAGACGGACAGGTCAAGTTAATTTAACTGTCCAATATAACAAATTACAAATTTGCCTCAATGTGCTTTGCATTCTGTACAGCTCGAGGCATCCTCTGTCCTTTGACCATAAATTAAAATTAAAATATCCCCCAAAAACCCTGTCTAATAGGGGGAAAAGGATGGAAAGCTCAGGAAGAAGGCTGCCGTCTCACCTTGTACTCTCGAATGATACCGCTCTGAGTATTATGAGGCGGAGGATCCCAGGACACACTGATACTGGAGCTGTCAGTAAGCTGAACCACTGATACAGCCTGTGGAGGTGCACTTAAAACTGCAGACAGAGATAAGAAGGAAAATGACATTTCTACTATAATTAACTGATATCAGTGTAACGGTAGTGCTCAATTTTACAGGTCCGTATTTTCCAGATAATAATGACCGAGAGGTTTCCTTCAAAGAACCATGTAATCTGGTGCGTTTGTTCTGGAAAATAGGAATACCCTTGAAAGAAAGGCTCAGTTTAAATCCAATTAAATATTCATTATTTATTTATTTAATTTGGCAAATGTTATTCTCGATATGTCACATTTGACACGTTCAGCTGAACTGCTACGCACTGGCTCTCCTAATTACACTTGCAAATGAAATATTCAAAGTAAACCATTCAACACTGTCAACTCAAATCACATAGTTATTTTAAGGGAAACGTTTGGAAGAACTTATTGGAAAGTTATTGAATATAAACTACAAGAGTTACCTACTGTGTATTATTCCTATAAGGACAATTATATTATCAACTAATATCAACTTACCCATAGTTCTTCAGCTTTACGTACAATTATATGCTTTCGACAAAATTACGAATAATCATTTCTTACCCTCTTCAGGCGTTCGCAGCAGGATCATGAGGCTGTCGTGTCCCTGTAACTCATTGAAGTACGGCCGTATCTTGACCTCATACTCCGTGCTGCTGTACAGATCTACTAAGATGGTGCTGTGGTCAGACGTGGCCTCCACATCCTGAACCAACCAGGGGCTGCCGATTGTTCGGTAAAATATACGATAACCCTGAACGTAGCGAGACTGGAAGGCAACCTGCAAAATGTTTGTGAGAAAAGTAAAAAATAAAAAAACAGAAACAGAGTTTGACATTTGAATGAAACGCAGCTGTGCTTGTGCTTCTGGTTAATCTGTTTTTGTCACGTAATGTTCAGAGGAGTTTTTGAAGTTAATGTTTGGAGATTAGCGTGTCCTAGCCGACTCTGAAAAGTAGACTTTTCCCTCCTGCCAAGTATTCAACTCACAGTCCAAGAAATCCTGGCGCTGGAAGGAGACAGAACCGCAGGCTTCTGCAGGTAGACAGACACTTCCCCTAACTCTCTCTGCACCTGTCTGTGGTCCACACCCTGCTCTGTAGGGCTCCCATCTGAAACAACAAAGAAATCCATCCAGCCCAGGCACAATGAAACAGCTAACTAGAGACTCAGATTCAGCAAAAAAAGGAAAGCTTTTTGATGAATTCAACATTGCTCAAGGCAAAAGAGCATCACACTGGGAAAGCAATTAGTTTTGAGATTGCAAATGAAACGCAATTTTTTTCCTAATCACGTAGCTCATTGTCTTGCTCCCAGCTTCAGAACCTTGAATTTTGAAAATATAAAATGAAATCTAGATTCTACAGTAGGACACATATTATGCAAGAGTATACCCAGAAAAAGAGGATTTGTTTGCTTATGTAACTCACCCTGCGTCCTGACAGGCTCTGAGATGGGGCTGGGGTCACTGAGGCCGTAAGAGTTGACTGCTCGGACGATAAAGAGATAAACGGTGTTGGGGAAGAGTCCGATGACTGTGTGCCTCTCCTGCTTCACGTGGTCCGCCACCGTTTGCCACATGCTGCCCACTGATTGGCTAAAGGAAAAGAAACAAGACTATAAAAATATGGCCAAAAGAGTTTCTTAATCTCCTTCTCATGATCATTTAACTAAACCCATGTTGTGTCACAAAAAGACAGAATTTCACCATGATTACCTTTTTAAGTGTTTTGGGGAGTGTAAGATGAAGGTCAAGAGATCTTTATCTGGAGGATGTTAGAACATACGGAATCAAAAAGTAAAATGTGCCACCCACTCTGTTAACACTTTTCCAATCCTGTTACAGTATCTCAAGTGCGAAAATTCCTTATCGTGTTATCTCGAGATAATGATCACAACTCTAGGCCCTTTGCTGATAAACTGATTCCACCGATTAAAGTGGAACAGGCAATCACCGGAAAATACCTCTAATTTGATTTAATGATATGACATCTACTTTATTTGTTTTATTTAGTTATGAAAACATGTGTTGCTCTCTTGTGATTATGAGTAAACAAAATGTGTTTTCTGAAGGTAATGACAAATTAGCTAAAGATTGTTTTCAAAATCAGTTCATCTTTGACTTTTTCAATGAGCTGATTAATTGTTTGGTCATACAATTCCAATCACGGTTTCTCAGAGCACTTGGTGACAGTAAAAGTCAGTTAAATGACATAGGACACTACCATAAACTGGAAATAGCCATGTTGACCTGATAAATGACAGCTAATTCAATTGCTAAAAGATAATGCTGCTTTAATTATCGTCAACGGACAGATGACGAATCGCAGTGACTTAAGGGAAATAGGTTGACATTCATACTATATGATCCAGTTTCACCAAAATCCTCTTAGACCTGTAAAGCTTACACAATTCTCCAGATAGAATGTATGACCGCTAACAAAATGAATGCAAGAAAGGGAACAGAACATTACTAACAATATCTTTACTGTAACCACGTCAGCATCTGAAACCTTTTTCCGGCCATTATTGTATAAATATACTTCTATCAGCTGAATCTTGGGTCCATGAGACTCTACAAAGTTGAATTCCTTCTTTTTATTGCAGCTGGTCGTAAGGACAGATTCTGAATGGGTCCTGGGAGGATACGATGACATGGTTCTGTGCAAAGTCAGGCACAATCACACAGCGAGAGTGCAATTTAAAATTGTCTTCAACTCCATGGAGGGGAAAATGGCGAGGTAATTACGACATGCCGTTTTCCTCCTCAATGTTTCCTCTGCCACCCTTCTCACCAAATGTTCTCCAGAGAAACCGTTTTGACATTTAAATAGGGTCATCCAGCTTTCAGAGTCATCAGAAACTGCATCTGTAAATGGGTTTGGAGCTGCTGCTTTTACATAAATACTCCTCGAAGATTTCTTTACTTATAAATTATACAGAAACGTAAGGATTTTACTGTACTGTAAAACGAAGAGCCACATATTTTGCCTGAAAGGAAACACTTCTAAACAATGTGCTGGTATTGGAGCATGCAACAGTGAGTGGATCTTCATTATTAGCTCTGCGTGCAAGTACTGTATGCCACACTAAGATTTCCTTACAGACAGCGCTAACTGGACTTTTGTGTGTGTTTGTGTCTGTACACCCGGCCTGTACCCTCTCGTCTGTAATGAGTAAGCTCTTCAACAGGGCCAGCACCCACCCCATCCTTTGCCCCAGGACAGGACAGAGCTGCCGAGCTGACCACTGCAGTAATCGTCTCTTCTTTCACTCACTGTCCGTCTCACTAAAGCCTCTGGTTGGTTGTTAGAGCTGCTATAGCTCTCCTCGGGATTGCCACGGCTAAATACTGATGCAGTGAGTGTCACGGTTTCACTTCAGGACGTCACTTAACAGCACTGTGTCTCCCTCAGGCAGAGACTGAAATATCTTTCCCAACTCCTAATGACTCTAAATAAAGAAGACTTCATAATGTTGGAATAGTCAGAGAAAATAAAACAGAAACGGAGAAGACTTTGTGTACAGTTGAAATAGCTACAGATACGAGCACATATCTCTCAATGTAAAAAAACACATCTTTTGGGACATTATATAAACATTACATTATTTGTTAATAAATTATTTTTAAGAGATACTGGTAGGAGATTTTTTTTTTATCTGTAGAAAGCCAGGCTAGCTATTTTACCCTGTTCCCAGTCTTCAACAGACAGCAATATCAATATTGTCTATCTATACATGTAGGTGTCAACCATACATACAAACAAACCTACATGAAACTTTAAAAACAATGTTTGTTTAATGTATCTGCACCAAAAACAAAAAAAAATCAAGCAGCATTGCACGGTAGCGATCCCTCCAGTGTCAAAACTAAATGTACAACCTCGTTCTCATCGACGCTTTTCCCAACGTGTCAAAGTATTCCTTCAACCAGTCTTAAATAATGGAAACATATTTTTGAGTACCTGAAGGCCTCGATGATGTAGGAGGTGACAGCGGCCCCGCCTTCGTGAGGGTTGGACTGCCAGGTGAGGGTGACGGTGTTTTTGGTCACGTCCGTCACTACAGGCTTCTGCGGAGGCCCCGGAAGCTGGATGAACTCAGAAGCTCTGGATAAAGAGAAAACTCCCTCCTCTGTTTCAAAAACAGGAACAAAGCACAGTTTCACCAAACCAATAGGTTCATTCTGATACATGTTTTCACTGAAACTGAAGTTTTGTCCTGGCCTGGCTGCAGACTGTGTTCATAAGAAGAATATAGGCAGAGTGTGTAGTTCCTTAAGCGAGGTGTAGTGTGGGAGTGACGGAGTGTGAAGTGTAACAGAGAGACAGCGTGTGGAGAGTTGTGGAGCGAGTACCTCTGACAGTCAGCATCCCACTCCAGCTCGACTCCCCTGTGGCGCTGGATACTGCGCATGTGTACATCCCCGAGTCTGTTTCCTGTTGAACAGCAGTTAACATTTTAGACAGACACCCCGAAAATGGGAAGAGAACAAATGCTGCAAGCAGTTTTTTATATTTGTAGGAGGTTTTGGATCCATTTACATGACTTACAGAATGTCTAAAGCTAAATCAATATATTCTCAAGCTGTATGGAAGTAGTAGAGTATACATATTGCAATGAAAACATTGAAAATGTTGACTTTAAGCTAAATGTATTAGGTCAACACATTTCACATAACTGTATTATCTTAGTTGAAACAATAGTAATACGTTGAACCTAATATTTTTAAACTTAATATTATTTCTTTCAACTAACACAGTTATGTGCAATCTGTTGACATAATACGTTTATTTTAAAGTCAACGTTTCAGTTTGTTCAGTGTGTGCTTACTGGAAATACCTTTTATTTTTACTTAGTAGTAGTCCCAATGTAGATCCACAGTAAATCATTATTTTTGATCTTAAAGAGAACTAAAGAGTTTTCTTTAAACCAGCAGTGTTAATTGGCACTTGGAAAAACAAGGTGTACTGTAAACAACCCTGTTTAATTATCACTTGAAATAGTTGGCAAACCTGTTAGAAAAAAGTGGCTCATTGACAGTTACAAAACACATGCATCCATTTAGAGTTGGGTTTGTGTCCACGTAATGATGCTAATCAAATATTCATGCTCTTTTAGCTCAGGTTTTGGTCTCTTACTCCTCAGGGAAATAAGTGACTCTAAATTCTCCAGGTTCACCAGGTAGTTGCTGCTTTTACACTAAAAACAGCTTCCCAATACTGATGGGAGCAGCAAGAGTGAACCAAACGGGAAGTGTTTGGGCCATAAAACCAACACAATGAGCCGACAGACACCAAAAAGCTCCCTAGAGCTGAGCAGAACTGCATAGTCGGGTGATTAACCAGCTTTAGGTAAAGGATCCCAACACTTCTTTGACCGCTGCCTGGGTTGCCATCATCTTAAAATTCACATATAATCCATGCATATCTAAACTCACTCAGTATTCTTCACCTCAGCAGCTCTAAAAGCTCCATTGCTACAAACCATGACAGTTTACATTATGACCTGTATGTGCCTTCATGCTTCACTGACACAGCTCTGTCCTGGCTGAGAGCCAGTGTGCTGGAACCATCATGAGACCGTATGAGATCATCCGCCGCAGTGTTGACCTCTGGCTGACAGACTGCACAGCGTGTGCGCAGATGAACTTCTTTAGATGACTTCAACTGCTGCTAAAATATTGATGGCTGGTGGGGGCACCATCAGGTAAAAATATTTTTAGTCCCTCACTCGTCAACTCCATTTCCACTCTGCTGTTTTTCCCCTTGTCATCCCCTTGATGCCACACTAATGCATCTCTTCTGTTCCATTGAGCACATTGGCATGGCAGATTTCCCCCGCCTCACTGGTGCATTGGACCAAACCGTAATGCTTTAAGTTGGAGCACCACACCCGGAGTAAAGCGGACGAGAGAGGAAGTGAGGAAGCATATTTGGGGCAGGAGATTTAATTAAAACCCGGTCAGATGATTAATCGTCTATTGCCATTAAATTAACGCTAACGATGCTGGTTTTGCTCCGTCCGGCGTGCACCGGCTGACCTCCAGGTGGGGTTACAGCATAAAAGGGATGCCAATTGCTCCTCCATCAAAGCAGAGCACATTAGCATTTACAAACAAGCACCTTCATTAACATTACAATTACACACCGCATGAGCACATAATTGCGCTGGAGAGATATGCTCTGCCTTGGAGAGATTGTTCTTTGAAACTCAGTCTCACTTTAATTTCACAAACTAAAACGGAATTTATAATGGTATAGGAAAAAAAAACATGTTGCCACATAGGATGCAGAGAAAGTGAAAGAAGGTCAGACAGGAAGGTTTAGCTGCTTTTTTGTAATTTACATCACTCACACAGTCAGTTTTTCCTTCAGTTTGACAGCGAAACTCATCCTTTTCACGCCCTTTCCAATAAATGACACCCACTGAACACAAACATTCACACACACTCCCACACACACACATGCACACACACACCTTTATGTCTGTGATTTGCAAAGTGCCATTATCCATCAAGGTCAGTCGGGGTTTATTTCCCAGAAGTCTCTCTCCATCCTTCTCCCATGCAATCTTGACTGAGGACCCTCCGATTACACGGCAATGCAGCTGCGCCGTTGCACCGCGAGATACCGTCTGATTGGCTGGTCCTTGGCGAATGATAGGCGGGACACGACCTGAAGGACCTACCAGTTTGAGAGGAGAGGACGCAGAATATTATGTTTGTCCTCCGATCAGATATACAGTGGAGAAAAGTGGTGAAACTAATTTGGAAAGCAAAACATATTATAAAATTGCCCGGCACTAACAGTGCAAAGGGGAAAATCATTTAGATGCTTAGTAGGCAGAACAAAATAGGCCTCATAAGACACAACAAAAATAAAATCAGGTGCTTGCAAACAGTTGAAAGAAGAACATTAAGCCTCAGATTCATTGCTCATTCAGCATGGGGTAAGTGTTTTCTTTCTTGCTCTTTGTGAGTCTTATTGTTATGCATCTCCCAGCAGTAGTAATTAATTAGTTTTAACCTTGTTAGCTGATGAAGAATAATCCTCCACCAGGTTCAAACGTGAGTGTGCGTACTGAATTCTCACCTCCCTCCACCTCCAGCAGTGCCTTGGTCAACACACTTCCTGCTACACTGATGGCCTGGCAGATGTAGAAACCAGAGTCCTCGGGGTGCACGTCAGCGATGGTCAGCTCTCCGCTCATGGAGACAGAGTAACGGCCAGACTGTGATGGGGGCTGGCCGGGGAACAGCAACATCTAAACACATAAAGACACAACAGAACAGAACATATAATTAAGGCTATGTTGTGTCTGTTCTTCAATTGATGTATTCATTATCTAATATATAAAATGGCATGACATTGTGAATTCCTCCAATCATAATTCCCCATGGCGTGAAGTGACATCTGCATTCTGTCCTATTAAACATCAAAAACATATTTGATAAGATCAGAGGAACATCTTTTTGGCATTGTTGATGAATTAGTAGTATCAAAACTACTATTGGAACATCGTTTTTTTGTTGGACTGGGCTAATTGTTCAACATTGTTCAACATTAATCTGCATATCATTTTCTCTGTAATTTTCACTGTCAAGATTTCCTTTCCTTTATTAATTTCCCTAAAATGTCAGAACAAATATATTTTTTAAATCATAATGTTTCAGAGCCCAAGTTCACATCTTTAAAACATGTGACAAATACAAATCTGACCTGATGTGGGCCCTTAATGAAAAATGAACAAAATGTCTTGGCAATCTATCAAGCAGAGGCACTTCCCTCCAAAGCGGGAAAGTTACCCTTGGTGGTGCTAGAAAAAAACTCAGGAGATTCCCAAAGTCATTAGGACCCATATTTCTAAAACTAGTGCAAATTGATCCAATAGTTCGACGGATATTTCAGTCTGCACCAAAATGCTGGGGTGGGGTGACAGACCAACATCCCAGCTAGCATGGGCTAAAACTGTAAGAGATGTTTTTTTTGGTGTTTTGGGGATAATGCCCACTAACTAGATAATGCCCTCAGCTGGAAGGCGCATGTTCAAGGTCTGTGCTCTAGACTTCAACAGCGATTGTACTTTCTGCGTCGACTCCGGGCTTTCGGAGTCAACCAGAAGTTCATGTTACTGTTCTATCATGCAGTGTTGGAGAGCATCATTAGGTATGGTATTACTGCCTGGTATGGTAACTTGACAGTGCAGTCAAAGTCACAGATCGCTCGCCTGGTACAGACTGCTATGAAAATTAAGGGGGTTAAAAAACACCCATCTCTCCAAAACATATACGAGTAGTCTCCATTATCAGACAGGCAAACAAAATTGTGCTGACTGAACCGCTATAAGCACTCATTCCTACCTATGTCGATTAAGCTTCTTAACATTCACATGAAATTAAATGTAGTCAAATGTAATGAAATGTACTTTTTAAATGTTGGCCATGAGGGTAGTGCAATAGGTCGCCATTGTCAGTATGTGCGTCTGTGTATTGTGTTTCTTCAAATGGTGTATGACTGATGATATGTGTATGTCTCTTAATGTCCACTATGTTTGTATATGTACATGTATGCGGAACTGCAGGACGGAGTCCAGAACAAATGACCTTACGGGGACAATAAAGTATATCGTATTGTATCAGAGAATTAAACGCTGTCCCATTCTGTGTTTTCTATAAGTGAGACGTATGAGAACAAGGGGGAGGGATGCACTTCAATCCAGTCAGCCATCCATTTCATTCCTCTAAGAGGCTTAGACTTTGGTGGAGGGACTAAGGTTATAGGGCTAAAGATAATCCCCCCAAATGCAGCAACAAGATCTACAATCAGCAAAACCATTCCTCGGCCTTCCTGCAGACGGGTGGTACTGGGTATACTTCAAATCTGAAACAAGCTTCTGAAAACACCTGAAGCTGCTTCAAAGTCTCTGATCTCAGCTGCTGTTGAGCAACAGGGTATTTATAGTTGGGTACAATCTAGAAGGAGGACAGTGTTTGCCCTCAAGAAGCGCTTCGCTAAACGCACCTGGTGTACTTCCTGCCACCTATTCCTCCTTCATTTCTACTTCATCAACTCCTCGTCATTACTCTCTCAAACTTCGGTTTCTCGCAAGAGAAAGAATTTCTCGCCAACGCGATAGCACAATGCCTTCCAACACTTTGTCTCTAGTCATATCTCTGAGCCAAATGTGAAGCAATCTCCTGTTTGTATATCGCCTGTTTCTCTTAGAAAAAAGTGTGAACAACCTAAAAAAAGTGTCAGAAAAACTATGATTAGATCGGTAAGTCTTTTCTCACTTTTTAAACAATGAATTAATGCTAAACAATTCAGTATGAGTGAGTTTTACAAAAATCCCCAAACGACTGTAACAACCTGGTGTGTGTAGTCCTTCATTGATTTGTCAACAGGAAATGAATGTACTGAGAGTGAATATCTGCAATATTCAAAGGATCCTCTGTTCCCTTCTCTTACCTGGCTGCCCTCTTTCTGCCAGAAGATTGCAGGTGGAGGGTTTCCTGTTGTGCCACATTCGAAGGTGACGCTCCGGCCCTGGCTGGCAATCTGGTCTCTTGGCTTTGACTCAATCTGAGGTGGTACTGGAGGAGAGAGAGAGTGTGACCACCAAACGCCTTATTTCAGCATGAAAACTTCTCAAACTGCTGCCCTGGTCTCATTTTCCATTTGGGAATCTACACTTGATGTTAACAACTGGTGGAAGAAGTATTCATTTCACATTCATAATACTGAATAATGATGAGTGAGCCAATAGCATTTTACCATTGTAGCTGGATAAGGTGGATTTGACAAATGTATATGCAGTAATGGTTCCCAACCTATTGGTCAGGTGGCTCTAAAGGGTCACAAGATAAATCTGATTGATTGTGAGATAATTAAAGACATAAATAAATCAACAACCAGCAATCATTTCTGGATATGTCACTAATCTTGGTGAATTATGTAACAGTTTTGCTTCTTTTGGAAATGTAAAGTTTCTAATCTAACGCTGCTTTTATGTAGGGGGGTTATGACTCATGACCAACCGTTGGGAATTACTGGTAAAATCTATAAACAAGCATTGGATTTTAAAACTCTTGATTTATGTTTTTATGTAAAATAATAATATAACAATTATAATATGGCTGACAATAGCTGTGAAATAATTGCAGTGGAGGAAAACTAGTATCGATAAGGCACTCTATCGCTCTAAACAAGCAGAGAGTTGCCTCTTTAACCTTCTGAGCGTTTTGATCTATCACGGCACTGTCATCGCCCTCTCATCTTTAATGAGAGACATCACCTTGGTGTCCTCTGAAAATAACAAATCATCGCAGCGCTCGGCAGAGGTGTTCAGATGACATTTGCTCAGTTATTTTTGGAAAGGTCTGGGCAGAGCTGCCATTTTATAGTTTGGGTCGGATCATTGGGTTCGCCACATCATCAGATCCTCTGTGGATTTACACTGACCACTGCCTTCTACCTCCCGGCTGAATAATTGGCTCACGCTTCCTGTCAGATGAGAAGCTTCTCCAGTCTGGATTCATCCTTTCTACACATCTCTGCACAGCGCATATGCCAAGGCACACACACGTAAGAGAGCATGCAAACACATATTTGGCACGATACCCATCTGACTCATCTGTGCTGTCTCATAATGTTCTCACAGAGAGCATGTTCACAAACACAGAAATCATTTCACACTTTCATCAACGTGTTTACTGATTTTATTCTTGAGATGCTCCAATGTCTTTAAACAAATCTGACGTGTTAGTGTCATACACTTATGGTAACATGGGGGGATGCACAATATTGGATCTTTGCCTCTTTTTTTCCGACTTCTTTTTTTGTCGATGCCTACTTCATTATATTGTAGGCACATGTTTTTTTCAATATAAGTGCAGAGTATCAAGTCTTTCCATTAGACAAGAAATACTTTTTTTACAGTGTTCTTAACACAACAGTTACAGTCGTATTTTTGTTCACCCCTTTTGTTTTGTAGGTTAGCTTGGATTTACCCTGATTATAACATGTCTTGGCATGTCATTGAAGAAACCTTTCCACAAACATGTTACATGAGTCATGAACCTCATGCTTATTAGTTTTTTCTTGAGGAGTACATAACATAATGCAAAATCAGCACAAGAGATGCTAAGATAATTACTAATACTGATAAAAGCAATAATACTAATAATAGTAATACTACTTAAAAAGGGACACATCACAAATTCTATATCATAGTTAGTATAGCTATGAGGAATATACATTTCTTCTGCAGCTCTGGAGCAGCTTCTGTCAAGCCGGAGAAAAAAAAAATAATGTTGTCAAAGAGATTTCATCAGGTTGTTTTGGGTCAAGCTTGCGTTTACAAATGTGTATCAGACATTTGAGACACAGACAAGGATGTTACAAAAAGAAATCCTACAGAGTTACATAAGAGACTAAAAATAAGGTTATCTCTTCCTTTGATGCTTTCTTATCATATTTGTATTCTCTTATGTGTCCCCTGATGTTATGGAAGAGCTGGAGGGCCCATTTAATAATAACTCTGTCTTATCATTGAGATTGTGAAATGACGAATATGGATCCACCCAGAATGATTAATAGTAATAAAGCAACAACAGTTATATTTTGGTCTGGAAAAAAAACTAAATTCAAATCATGTCCTCATTTGTAAGTAACAACTTCTACTCAGTTGTAATCAAAAACCTTTCAGTTGTATTTTTGAACTTCTGAAGCTGCAATTGAGAGAGGATTTATACAGCATCTCACTTTCACGGACACTCCTCTCCACACAGCAGATGTTTGTCTCAGTCCTTAATCTGTTGTACATGAAGTCACTGGCTTACTTAATGCCTGACTGCAGCAACAGGCATGTTGTTCACAATTCAATGCCTAATGGAGGAACTTATTTACACCATTACACATTGATTCTTGATTTAAAACAAATGCCTTTCTTTAGAGAATAATTAAATGGAAAGTGAATTTACGGAGTGGGCCGACTGGAATGATGATAGGGTTTGAAAACGTGATGGAGAGAGATGGAAAAATAATGAGATGGATGAAACACTGAGCGACAAAACAAAACCGGTGGTAGCATAGAAAGAGAAAATAAAAGAGAGAATGGAAAACTGCCCGGTTTGGATTTCATTTTCACTGATAAAAGCATTAGTGGATGAAGTCGACTGAGACTATTGAGAAACCAGGACACACAGAGAAAAAGAAAAGGGACACGTAGAGAGCGAGGAAGCGAGAGGACGGAGATAAAGAGACAGGAAGGGAGAGAGGGAGGGAGTCATGTCTTATTAATACAGGGACTGCTCTCTGGCAGTGAGTTAAAGCACACATCTACCAAACATCTGTCAAATGGCGTAATCCATACGGTTTAGCATAAGCTCATGGCATCACCGCTGGACAGGGACTCAAAGATACAGTGATATAAAAACAGAGGGCATTGAACAGGAAATGGTAACCTGTTTTTTTATGATGCTTTTGCTGTGTGCCTGTAAGCCTGAACATGAGCTTTTTTACCATGCATGCATGTGCGCGCATATACAATATGCATGATGTGTTGCTTACCGTGGATCTGCAACATGGCCGAGGCCTCCGTCTTCCCCACACTGTTCTCAGATGTGCAGGTATACGTCCCTTCATCCTCCTCTTTCACGCGGAACAAACGGAGACCGTTGCCGTTGCGGATTTCAAACCTGGGAATGAGAAAATGAGAGATAATGAAAGATCTAACAGAGAAGCATTGCACAAAGAAAATTACCATGCTTATCTTAAAAAAAAGCAAAGAAAATATATGCCAGTAGCATGAGATAGTGTCATTTATTTCGTGTCAATCAACATGATGCTATGGTTTTTTTTCAAAATGAAGTTGTATTATCTTGAAAGGAACTGGAACAATACGCCTTATCTGCCTCAGATAATGTCACAGGTTCCTGGAAAATTCTTGGAACAGTTGAAAATCAATTAGAAACAAGTAAGATTGGTTTAACCCATTGACGGATTTTCAATAGATTCTAGGAAAAACAGCATATCATTTCTTAACAGTACATTAGTTATACCGTTTCGATGGATTTTGCAGAGTTATTCAAAACACCAAATACATCCACAGTAAAGAAAGCTTATTCAGTTGTGGTAGTCATTGAAAGGGGTATGTCGAACAAAACAATATGAATTTCTTCATTTAATAAAATATAGAAGCAAAACAAAAGAAATACCAGATACAAGATAACAAAATAGGTGTGAGACTGATTATAATACAGCTTTTTAGAAACATGAGAAACAACCATTCATTGAATATGTTAGCATCACAATTACCTATTTTCAAAGTAGACCAATTAACCCTAATGTCTGCACATGAGGCAGTTATCTCAGCATTTTAACCTTCTTGACGTTTAATTATCATTTCATTATTCTTTATGGCATTAACTCCCACATCAATGTCAGCACCATAATGGGACAATCCACTCAACAGCTGTTGCAGAGCGGCGCTGCAGGGAGGACATATATAAACATAATTTGTATTCATAAATGAAATAGAATATAGAAAACCTGTATTGTATAACCTCCGCTCAACATAGTGTTGGTTGAACTTTATAGGTCATTTGTTAAATGTATGTATTATTTAAGTTTCATTATATGAGTATAAAATGTAATTATTTAATAGGCTTAGCTAAATAAACATTAATTTGAGTTTAAATGGAAAAAAGGGTGTAACTGGTCACAGGATGATTCCCTCAACTAATGAATCCTCTTTGGTCTCTTCCATTTATGAATTTATATTAGCAGGCTTATGGGAAGACGTAAATGAATGAACAGTTATTAGGATTTCTGGGTCACATGAGTTAGTAATCCAGTGCCCGACGCGCCTCTGATGAACTGTATTTCTTATTCAGCCTCAAAGGAAGCTGTACAGATGATCATCAGCAGTCTGACTCTCCATTGGTCCGTGCTCATGTCAGTCACTCTCACCTCCCGCGGGGAAGCTCTCCTTCCTCTCGCCGCCATCGGACAGTGGGGGGGGGATCCCCATGCACCTCACACAGGAAGTCGACCGTCTCTTCCTCCATGACCACCTGGTTCACCGGCCTCCGGACCAACACAGGACGCTCTGCAGGAGACAGGAAGTGTACAAAATGTGTCTATTTCTTACACACTGTGCCTCACTAGGGAACATTTCTGTGTTTCCATTTTCATCATTTTGGCAAGCTACAGTACTGAGCTTGTTTTCATTCAAATGTTAGTATTCCAACCTCAGTTCCTATTATAAACGAGAACATCTATTATAAACGGTATGAACTGTTAGACACTTTGAAACCCATTAAAAAAAACACTTTCGATTCCAGAGCCATTAAAGCTTTCAATCATACTTTCTATTTTATCTGGCTTCAAATCTAGAGCCCTTATAATTTCTTTCACTATTTTCTGCCAGATTGAGCCATTTTGCTTATGATTGCAGTATGGGGCAAATGCATTCTATTGTCCTGATTTCCTGCACTCAAAAATGAACTTTTTGATTTTCATGGACATTTTAAAAAGTGGAATTATGTGAACAAACGGTCATTAAAAGGGTTAACATTTAGAAAAGAAATGAATCTTTTTTTCTTGTGATCACGACTGAATATGAAGATTGAACTCTAAAAGTGGGAGAACATATGAATATAACCTCTTTTATGGCAGTTTTTGACGTAGACATTTATAAACATCGGAGCAACTTTTTAAAGCCAATGATGCACACAGGTTAAAGGACATTATGCTGCTACACAAACAATTGCTCACCATACACCACCAGCTCTGCAGGATCGCTGTCCCTCTCTCCCACCATGTTGGTGCCCACGCAGACGTACATGCCAGCATCGCTCTTCCTGGTGTGAGAGATCATCAGTTTGCCCCCACGCATCTGGAAAAGAGCACAGTGACAGTTTCAGAGATTAGTCTGGAAAGTGTCCCGAGTAAAGACATCCATTACATCCATTAAACAGCCTTCAATGGAAAAAACAATAATTCATCCTTTATATTTGAAGTACTATACAAGTCATTCTGGTATACTTCTGTATAGTATCTGATGAAACAAAGTATTTACACTCATCACTTGAAGAAAATCACTAACAATAATAACCTTTTTCTTATATTGTTTAATACTGTCACACTCAGCACCAGGCCATTTGTCTTTTACTTTTGATTCTTTAACAACATATTGATGTAAGACATACATAAATATGAGAATTTACATCAATTATCATACATAAATGTCGAGCATTTTCGATGCTGGACTTTTGCTTTTAATTAAGACATTCTATATTGTGGTGCAGTATTGTGACTTTTTAAGTGAAGAGCCCGAATAAAACACCATTCTTTTACTAATGCAAGCACTGTCCTTCATCAGCTTCATCAAGAAATTATAAACGCCTTTCAAATCCCCCGGAGATGGTGTCCAGCTGTTGATTTCACACATGAGGAGAGAGAACAAAAGTGACAACAAAACCCGAGATACTTTCCAGTGAATAGAAAACCAAGGTGTCTGCATTGCATAATGTTCTATTGAAAGTATTCAAGTCAGTGTAAATGAGTATCTCTGACTTTCTCCATGAATGCAGAATGATGGTGGGTTTGTAAAGAAGCGCTGAGCAAAGAAGCTCAACGCCTTTCATTTGCTGCATCTTTATGCACCCCCCTAAAGATAAGGATAGTGATATTCTATAGGTTTCCTACATAAGAACAAAATAATCGGGTCTACTGTGTCTATGTCTAGGCCATTAGCTCCTAGACACATTGAAAGGTAAATCTAACACGTGCATGTGAAGAAGTTTACTTTAACAGAATTAAAAAGTAAATTGGCAGGGGTGGGAGAAGTACTCATATCTTGTACTTAAGCAAAAGTAGAAGTAGGGCAGGAATACTTTTACATCACATTACATGTTACTTGTTAGACGCTTTTATCCAAAGCGACTTACATACTCAATACTGTGGACAATCCCCACAGGAGAAATCTGGGATGAAGTGTCTTGCCCAGGGACACAACGACATGCTGACTGCAGTGGGGTTTGAACCTGTGACCCCCTGATCCGAACACCAGCGCACCATTCCACTGCGCCACACACCTCCTACTTACAAGTAAAAATTCTGCATTCAAAATGTTACTCTAGTAAAGGTACAAAAGTATTAGCATCAAAATATACTTAAAGTACCAAAAGTAAAAGTACTCATTATGCAGATCGGTCTATTTCAGAATATTACATTTATTATAATTATTGATGCATTAAAGTGTTATCAAAGCTGGTAAAGGTGCAGATAGTTACTGAAGGGTAGTTTGTAGGGGTGTAACGGTTCACAGAAGTCACGGTTCGGTTCGTACCTCGGTTTGGAGGTCACGGTTCGGTACAACAAGAAAAAGCAAAAAAAAGTCCCAAATGCATAATTCCAGGTTTGTTGTTATTTATGATTGAACAGTAGTGCAAGTTTCAGTTTAAAAATAAAGAACTCTTTTTTGAATAATTAACTGTATTAAACAGTTAAAAACAAACCATACACAGTACACTCAGATGGCCATATTATCTATAATGGCTGATGTCAAACAAAAAGGTTTCATCAAGCTGTAAAGCTAAAAAGAATGTCTTGAAAATATGACATCATAAATAATAAGAAAGTGTTTCAAGAGCGCAAAGTCGTTGAAAAACATATGCCAAAAGCTTCCGTTATTTATTTTGGTCTCTCGGCTTTCATGTCTCTTGGCTTCTTAAAAACAGCGGGGATCAGCTGTTGAACTGCTGTTGTCTTTTGCCGGGCTCCGGTGATTGGCAAATCTGGGCCATGCCTTCTGATATGATTTAGCATGTTGGCTTGTGTTACCATTAGCATACCGCACCACTGTAGAACAACGCCGACACACCGTCCTCGTCCGATCCACCACTCGTACACTCCATCGTTATTGTAGTCCACAGGGAACCCGAAATGTTCCCACACAGCTGATTTAAAAGAAGCAGGTGGGTTCTAGCTCCTGTGTGTTATCTGAAATCGCCATACTAACTTTTCTTCTTCTTGTATTTTGTTCGTTTTGTTGTTGTGTTTTCTTCTTGTTCTTCATTTGTTGTTTAAGGGCGGCTGGCAAACAGCTTTTAGGCGCAATACCGCCCCCTGGATTATATATAGTGTAGTGGATACTGCCCTGAATGACACTTTTTTCCCACTCATAAAAAAAAGGCGTATTCGTCGTGTGACTGCGTGTGCCGAACCGTGACGTCCGAACCGTGACGGTACGGGACGAATACGGATACCGTTACACCCCTAGTAGTTTGTGAATTTAATCCAGGTGTAGCTACAGTCTTATTTGATTAGATACATCTAAAGATGTGAAATAAATGTAGTGGAGTAAAATCACAAGATTTACCACTAAATTGTCGTGGAGTAGAAGAAACAATTGAAATATTCAAGTAAAGTACAGTACATGTATCTCAAAATTGTACTTAAGTACAGTGCTTGAGTAAAGGTTACTTTACAGCACTGTAAATCAGTTCATCATTAATTTTCAGCTGTGGGTTTATACACATTTTCTCTAGTGAGACTCTGTTTCAGGTATTCTGGAAATATGGTTAAAATGTGTGCAATGTTTGTATTGAAATGTGACTGATGCTTGGTTGAACAACATGGGGAGTTAAAACGGTGTATTTTGAAATGGGAGCTGTTCCTTTCCTCATTGTATATGTTAAACTCACCGAGATGCGGTCATCCTTGGGGCTGACTCGGACGTTGTTGCGTTTCCAAGCCACAGTGGGCTCGGGGTGACCACGTGGAGGCACACACTCCAACACTGCAGGCTCTCCAGCAGCCACCACCACATCGCTCGGGGCCTGCCGGAAATCATCTCTCAGGACTGAGAAGAAAACACAAAGAAATCTAATTAGCTTCTGAAGCCCTGGTCCTTTGATGTACTGAAAACAAAGACTGTAAATCAAACCCACAGATCGGTGAGCTGCAGCACAGACACAGGACCACTATCCTCAAAAGAAACACCATTTCGGCATGGAAATCTTTTCTACTTGTTCTCCTGAGTGAACCACATTCTTGCAAAGGGTGAAAAAAAGCTTATTGAGGGAAAGTCAATTATTATGTTGGCATTTGCATGACTGCTCAAATCCCTGTCAACGTCCTTGTTAGGCTGCGCTGTTTTAATGTTTTCTGTGTCCTACTCTGCTGTCTCCCCTGTCAGAGGAGATGAATAATGCACATCTCTCAGTCCAACATGGAGTAAACAAATAACAGCGCATTCATAATTTAGCCCATGTGTGAGGGAGAAAAAAATGGCCTCTGCATTAATGAAGGGATTGTGTCTCTGATTCGAAACACTATCTTACAAATCAGCCCTGAACTGTAAATCTATCATCACGTCACCCCCGTGGATAACGACAGGATGAGAAGACTACCTTTGATATCTTCTAATCTTCGGTGGTGACTGACAGATGAAAGCCTCAGAGTGAACTGTGAACTGGATCCTTCTCATGAGACCTCCAGTACAATGGAGACTCATACTCGAATGTTGACAGGCTCACATATTTCAAACACACACACTCTTCACGTTGGACCACATCCTGTATCTACAGCATACAGCCTTTTTCCTAACCAAAGAGTATTATTTCTGCATAATCAATCAATGCAATCTCCTTTTACACCTTCATGAATATTTTAGCAACCCTTCACAGATTCAAAGATGAAAGATATCTGCTCTTCTGTCAATCTACAACCCATTGATCTTCTATTCATCGATCACTAAAAACCCACCCCAGAAAGCAATTAACCATTCATAGCTCACCAACAGTAATCAGGCATGACAGCCTGTCAAAGTCAGGAGTTTGTGGGGTGGTAAAAAGTGTGTAACCTTCACACACTGCAAAGATAGTTCACTACCTAAACATGGCATTATCTACAAAAGACAAGGTAACTAGGGTGCTACAATGTCACAGTTTAAAGTAATGATAGTGGGTCTGCATTTGGTTTGGAGAAGTTAATATTAGCCAAACTTGATATATGTTTGTTAAACGCATCTAATATAATTTTTCCTCAAAATATTTTCTCTTGTGTCACTGAAGTGGACACTAATGCATAACTCTGACCATTGTGATGCTGTTGGGATGTGCATGAAGTTGAGTCAGAAGACATGTTGAGGGCGTTTGGCATGGAGAGGGAGGATTTGAAAAAAAAGATATCTTAAATAAACCAACTGTTTAAAAAAAACACTTACATTTTCATCACATACATTAATAAAATCCAGAGATTAAGCCCAAGAGCCAACAAAATCCAGTGGGACTTGAGACCGCGGCACATTTCTAGCATTAAATTATGTACACAATAACCATGTACATGTTTTATATATACACCCTTGCCGTGTCAGCCATGTCAGAACAAAAACAGGCTTATCAACTGGAACTAGTGAACAATACATCGGTGTAATCTCAGTCTTTAGTCAGGAGGATGATCTAAATCACCTAAACCAAGCACTTAGATCATTCTAAGTACATAATTAAATCCATGGCACATTAATTATCCATCAGTACGCCCGACAGGTCTGTGTCAACATGGCAGCCATGGCTTTTAACATAGCATCAATATTCAGATGCACTGGGTTTGAAGGAAATCTAATTTAAAAGGACTCACAGCTGTTCAAAGAGAGAAAATCATTCCTCCCTCTATGTTTGACGACCTTAATTGTTAGGAATAAACTTCTACGACTTCTCAAAACTAGCGTCTGACAGTTTTCTGTCAGATATTTAGTGGACATAAGTCAACCCGTAGCTACACTATATGCCCTTTTCTTCAACTTGATACGTGGCATGAATTAATCAATTACACGTACCTGCCTTCTTAAACTGAACTTTATGGAAATGAGTGAAAGTTTACTTTCTTCACCAAGTGGGACTTTTAATGCCATGACATTTAGGATAAGGACAGTGAGAAGTCTTCACAAAAGAAAAACTATGCTGTGAACTTCTAACCTCTTATATTAAATGTCTTATCAGTGATGTGTTAATTATTATTCATAGTCAAACACTGGTACAAGTACAGCGCTATGCAGGTGACTACAGAAGAGACACTTTATCTCAACAGGGAGCTTTCAGCCATACTATCATGGACATCTGCAGGGAGAAGTAAAACACCCAAAAGACCCTCACAAACATGGACGGTGGAGCCTTTGCAGAGTTATAACAAAAGCATGGGTGCACTAAAACCAGTAAAGTCACTGACTCTCCTCCCATACTGTATGTCTTTTCACCAAATGACCATGACCCCGTTCACTTGGCTGCCTGTTTCAAATGCTGTGCAGAGCTGAGGGGCTAATTGAAAGCACGGCATTATTCTTAGACCTCCGTCTGTAAGGCCTGGTTAAATGTGTGCACAGAGACCTCTGTTTCACTGCCATGGTGACTGAAGTGAAAAAGTTATGGGTAGGGAGCTAATCCCTGAACTGCACACTCACAGACAGGAACGCAGATGCTCGCACACATCTTTAGAATTTGAAACTCAAGAGTCTGCGGGAACCGACATGAGAAAGTGGGACTTTTGAGGGTTTGAAACACATGCCAGAGACCAGAATATATTCCTAACATCACACGCCACCCCAAACACTGTGCTCCAAAATGTTCTTTGAAGCTGTGTTCAAGTTAATGTGATCCTTCCTTGCTTCATCTTAAAAGCCTGCCACGGCAAACAGTTCCTCACGGATGTTTGTGTGATGATGATCATCACAGAAACACAAAGATGAACCCTCCCTCCAGGTTACTGTGTCCCTAACTTAACTTTATCGGACATAATACGAATAGGTCTTCCGAATAATCTCCTAAACTAGGCCCTGCGTTCTCGCTTCCCTCGGTCCACGCTGGGCTCAGTCGGATACTGCAGGGCAGCTGAGGGTTGACCCTTCAGAGGCAAATCCTCACTCCACACAGCACATCCCCTGAGCTTTAATAAAGGCAAAGCAGGACTCCCAGCGATTTCATCATTATTTCTCCAGGCGCTATTACGAGAGTGCCTATCCATTTTCATAACTTTTATATTTCAGGGATATACAGATTAGGAGATTTAATCTGCACGAGAATATTCATCGCTTGATTTTAAGTGTCATCTATAATGATCCGTATAATGTAGGGTTCAGCAGAGAGGAGCTGTAGGACTGCAGAAAGGCCATCTGCTAGTTGTTTTGGAAAAATGAACAAAGGATAAAGATAGATTAATCACAATAAAAAATGATGTATGTCAGTTGTGATTTGTATTGCATCCACTTATTAATGTACTCTATATTATTGCATTTCAGTTCATATGGACTCAAATCAAGCAGCAACGAGCAAATTACTTAAAAGTTCAGAAAACATTTACGTACCAAGCAAGAGACACATGATGGATGAGTGTGACGGACAGGACAAGGGGAAAAAAATGCTTTTGTACTAAACACGAGGTGACAGTGAGTGTGAGTCGCAGACAGGGCAGCAGACGTGGGCCGGACAGATGAGCGGCTCCAGAGCTGTGTGTTTTCACGGCTGACAGGTAGGAGGGTGGACAGGGAGGTTAGAGGACAGCGGAGGTACAGATTACCGACAGGACCCGCTGCCTGGCTCCTATTGTTCTTTTATTTCAGAGAGCAATAAACCCATTAGGGAGGTGGACTAATCCCATTGTCATGATACTGCCCTGTCACAGCTAATGGTGGCTTTGCCTACAGAGAAGAGAGATTGCTTTAATCCATCCATTGTCTCACTGTGTTGATGGAGGATGAAAAGAGACTCCTCTGCAAATACTCTTTATGAAACTCAAGGCTATTCGTGAAGCGTTGTGTCGCTCATAGAAACCAAAGCAAAGGTGATATGAAAATGTTTCTTGTATGGAAGTACAAATTAATTATAAGCTACACACATAAACCATATCCATAAGGGATGATATGTATCTGATATCCCCAGTGAAAAGAGAACGAAGAGCCGTGGAAGCCAAGAAACAAGCTGCAACCACAACTTTGATTCGTTCGTAATCCCTCATCAAGAGTAGGAGGAACATCTGGCTCTAAAGCCTTTTAAGCAAGTTTTATTTTTTATTTGTCCTACTTTGTTCTAATCCTGCCGCACCATGTGACTGTCTACTTGCTGATACACGCAGACATTCAAATGCATGATATAGAAATAGACACCATAGTATTTTTACCGCCTTAGTTTAATTTTAAAGCCAAAAAACACAGTTTCTGCTTAGTTATTCTGGCTTTTTTCAAACCGCCATGCAAGTCAGCCGAGCACTGTAAGCTCACTCTTAACATGGAAGGAAAAAATAGAACACTGACGGCTGCTGGCATTTCAGAGTTAAGCGAACTCCTCGCTACAAGGTACGCTAAAAAGGGAGCAACAGCAGATATACAAAAAACATCACTTGTGGACCTCTGGGTGCACAAGTGCATTTGAGCATAAAAAGCATCAACTCGACTGTGAAGAAAAAGAGACTGACTGTACAGAGCAAATACATCCGTTTTCATTCTTGAATCCTTTTAATGTTTTGAAGTCAGCGTTTGTCTCAGCTTTTTCATTCATTGATATGCAAATCTATTATTCCACCTTCTAATGATTTATTTTACCAAAACTGTGGCTGCGAGAGTTAGCATTATACGGTGTTCCCCTTTTCTCAGAATGTGTGGCAAATAAATGATTCTGTGAACTAAACGTCTCACACCTTGAGTTGGTAATAGGATCATATAACTGCCTTCTAATACAGAGGGATAGGAGCATGGACTTGAGTGAGCAAAAATGCAAAACTGTTACAGAGCCTATAGGGATGAGTTTCCAAGTTCTCAGCCTCACCAACAATCAAGTGAAGTAGCTGTTTTATGAACTTTCAGCATCTGTG